ATATAAGGTTTTATTATAAAAAGTTAATATTTAAATATATAAAACCTTTTAAAATTATAAATAAAGTTAATTTATAAATATATTATATTAATTTCCTATTATAATATATTCATCTTTACCTTATTTTCCTAATTTAATTAATTAAACTTTAAACTATTAAATATAAATATAATTTATTTATATTAAACCTTAAAGATAATTTAAAAAAGTAAAAGGTTAAAGATATAATAAATAAAATAATATATAATAAAAATTAATATTATAAAGTTAAATAAAAAGGCTAGCCTTTTAAATATAATTAATAAGTATTATAATTTAATATTTTAATACTAAAGATAGTTAAAGATTTTAAAAAATAATAAAGTTAAAAATAAAAGAAAAAAATTAAAACTATATTTAATATTATTAATATAGGATATAAAATAAGCTTAATAGGATTTTAAAAATTTTAAATTAATTATAAAAAAAATAAAACTAATTATTTTAATATAAAAGGAATTAAACCTTTACCTTTAAAGTTAAAGAACTATTATACTTTATTATTAAGCTATATATAAAATAAAGTTAAATTTAATAATTATTAAAATTAATAATATTATAAAGCTTTATTTAATTATAAATATTGCTTTATTAAGTATTATTATATTGTTTAATTATAAAAGTTTTTACTTTTATTATAAATAATAAAATAAAGGTATATTATATAGTTAAATTAAAATCCTATAAATATATATATAAAGAAATTATTTAAAAGTAGCTTTAATGTTAAGCTATATTTTATTTAAGTTAAAAATATATATAAAAAGAATATAAAGTAAAGTTATTTATAATATTAATTAAAATAAATATAATTATATTATAAATAATAAATTATTGCTTAATAATAATATAATTATAATTAAGTAAATACTTTTATTTAAATATAAATATAATATTATTATAATATATAATAAGTTTAAAATAAATATAAAATAGCTTTATATCTTTTTATTAATTTAATTATTAATTATATTAAAATAATTTTAATAAATTAAAAGAAAATATAAATATAATTTAATAAAATAATATTAAATAGTTATAATATTAATATAAAATTTAAATAAGTTAAATTAAAGTCCTATTTTATTATTATTAATAGTTTAAATATTATTAATAATCATTTTAAATATAAATACTTATTAATTTTATTTAAGGAGTTTAATAAGGTAGATAATTTTAAAAGCTATTATAAGTAATAGTTAAATTTAAATAAATAGCAATTTATATATAATATAAATATAAAAATATTAATAAGCTTATATATTTAATATACTTTAATATACTTATAATAATTAATAAAGTTAAATTTATTAAATAAATAATTAAGTTTAAATGAAAAACTAAGGTTAAGTTAATGGTAAAGTGCACTATGGGTGTAGTATGAATAATCGTAATGTAGATTTGAAGGAGAGGCTGTACAGTAGTAATCGTGGGGGGATTGCTATGTACAGCTATCCAGGCTATCTGTACAGCCACCTAGTGATAACACTACTGTGGCTGTGTGTGAGGGGGTCCCCCTTCCTATCTATGTTAGCTAATATATATATTTAATATACTTAATATAATTATAATATATTAATATAAATAATATAACTATAAGGTTAATATATTTATTATAGTATTAATTTTTTATCCTTATGGACTATTTATATTTTTTTAAGGGTTTTTACTTTTAATATCTAAATTACCCTTATAGTTCGAATAATTATTAAGCGGAGGGCCAGCGGATCCGCCATAGCCTTAGCCCAAACTGCCTTTTCTATTATTATTGTTGTTATCGTCGCCGCCTAGTAGTGGTATTAGTGGTGCTAGGGGAGTAGGTAGTGCTAATGGTGCTAGCGGTAGTGGTGTAGGCGTTTCGTCGTTGGCGCGCTTTTCGTTTATATCTTTATCGTATTCGGATAGCGGTAATGGTAACGCTTTACCCTTACTGCTACGGGTAATATAATTACTTTTTAAGGTTTAAGCTTTACCTTTATCTTTTTTATTTTTAGGAGGTATAATTTAAATAATAGTAATAATAATATAAATATAATAAAAAAAAATAAAGTAAAAACGGAAGTAATATAATAGTTTTTAATTAAAATTAATTTTTAAAATTAATAACAACTAAAAAAAAAAGAAAAAAAAAAGAAAAAGAGTTAATAAACAATTAATAAAAATATATATATAAATTTTACTATAAAAGTAATATATAATATATATAATTTATAATATAAATATAAGCTTAATATTTATATACTTTTATTATAATAATACTTTATATAAATAAACTATATTAATATATTTATTATAATACTTTATATTATATATTTATATAATTAAACTTTTTATTTTATATTTAATTAATAAATTAATTATATATTAAGTTAAGGATAACTTAATTAAGGAAAAAGAAATAATTATTATATTATAATATTTTAAAGCCTTTAAAATATATATATTTTATATATATTATATACCCTTTTTATATATACTTTAAAGGAAATTCTTCTTTTCTTTAAGCTTTAATTTTATTAAATACCTATTATAAAATTAAAAAGACTTATAACATTATACTTAACCTTTAAAATTTAACCTACTTATAATAATTATTTTAAACTTATACCTTTAAATATATATAAGAAATCTTTTCTATTAATTAATCCTATATATATAATAAATTATATATATATAAAAAGATCCTTAAGGTTAAAATAATTAAAGGAAAATTATAATATTTAATTAAATATAAAGGATTAAGTTATAAATTTAATAAATAGCTTAATTAGGATTAAGTAAAATTAGACTTAATTAATAAATTTACTTATAAGTTCTTAAAAAAATAAATATTACTGCTTTATATAAAAAATTAAAACTATATAATTTAAGTTAAGGATTTAATTTAATATAAGGTTTAAAAAAAAACAAGGTTATCCAAAATAATTAGCCCTTATATATATATAATAAAGCTATAGGAATATAGTATTTTCTTTTCTTTTAGGGGCAGATTATAAAGCTTAGGGTAGGAAGACCCACTATACGTAGCTATAGGTATACAATCTCCTACAGTAGTCCTTGGCAAACCCAGAGATTTGACTTCTACATCATTATCCATATAATACAGACTGATTGGCCATACCATCACAGCGTACCTACCTTGTGAATGAGATACCTACCTGCAGTAGGTATAAGTACTCTGCATACTAGGTACGTATACCTAGCCTAGAAAGGGTGATGTACAGTACTGTCCGGGGGTTTGATTGGGTATGATCTACCCGCTTATATGTCCATGTTGGGAGACAAATGTTACTTTGAAGACTTGAAGCAACTTGCAGAGACGGAGAATAGGATTCTCTCATTACCTTTGCTTCACCTATGTATCTTGCCTACGGAATGCATTATACTATATGTATGTACTTAATTAACTGAGTACCTACTGAAAGTAAGGCCAAGGCGAGAGGTACTTAACGTTGTAAATGGGTACTTACTTCATAGGGACCCGTCCCGCCGCCGTGGGTCAAGCTTAAATTGTATACAAGGGTACCTACCCACTATGTTATTTGATTGATACCTTTACTCTACACGACACGAAGTACAGTTGCACAACCTCAAGGCCTCGAAGCTGTATTATTTGCTCATAACTCTACAGCGTCAGTGTGCGTCAGTACTTGAATTGTCGGTGCCTAGTAAGTCCTTGCGGAGTACAAGATGTTGGAAAGCGCAGGGCAGGCACGGTATGCTAGCAGGTAGGGTAGGTACTGCAAGTAGGCGCGTCCTGCACAGGCCATCACAGAAGTGAATTGAGTGAATGTAAGGGATCTTGATACCTCGACCTAAGGGAGAGACAAACACTGTGACTCACAGCTGTCGCTTATCTAAATCAATTTCACATTTAACCCAGGTCTACTCTATAAGGATACCTACCTCTCACTGTGGCGTAGCCGAGTGTAGATAGGTAGGTATCGGGTTGGTTTCTTGTTTACTTACCTACATAGGTACGCAACCGAGTCTGGCTGCTCTTGACCTAGCAACAACAAACGCCTGCATCTTGATTCCCACTTTCCTCATCCTCATCCTTCTCAATCCCAGCAGCTTCAACTTCAGCCTCAGCCTTAGCCTCGGCCTTGATCGTCACACCCAGACTGGGATACTCGACAGCCCCGAGTTTCCTGTTTCCCCTGATTCCCTTGATTCCTTTGATTCCCTTGTCACCACGCCTTCCTGCTACTGAATCTCATGTAAGAAGCTGTGAAATGCCCAGCATGGACCAGTCTGAAGATCCACCTGTAAAGTCGGAGCCTTTGACTGAACCTGTCACTCCCACCAAGAATGGCGTCATCAAGGCTGAGCCCTCGGGTACATCATCTCTGTCGCACTTGCCCTCACGACCTGCTGCTCAAGCTACACCAGAACTTGCACCACGCTCCGGCGAGGAGAAATTGGGTCATGGCCACCCCGGCGAGGCCGATGCTCTTGAGCGTTTGTGTAATAACGAGGCACCGGACACACTCGAGAACGCCGTCTCAGTTGCCACTGGTTTTCTTGATCAACTACAGGATGCCTTGACTACTTGCGAGAGCCCGGAAGTCGACGTTTGGAATGAAACAATCGTCGGTCTCCAAGCGCGTACCGCACCAACACGAACCGTCGTGGGTGTTGTCGGCGATACTGGCGCTGGAAAAAGCTCCGTTATCAATGCTTTGCTTGACGAGGAAAGGTATGCCCGCTATTGCCCCTCCTTCATACATCATCCACACTCATAGACTATCCTAGACTTCTGCCAACGAACTGTCTGCGGGCATGTACCGCCTCTCCTACTGAGGTATCTTTCAACTACTCAGATGATCCCCAAGAACTGTATCGAGCCGAGGTCGAGTTCATCTCTGCCGATGACTGGATTCGAGAGCTGCAGATCTTGTTCACCGATCTTTTGGACGGCAGTGGCCAGATAGCTCGTGACGCCACTAAGACTGAAACCGATGCTGGAATTGCCTACGCCAAAGTGAAAGCAGTCTACCCGCAGAAGACTAGGGACATGCTTGCTCAAGCCAGCCCTCAGGACCTAGCTAACGAGCCAGCCATTCGTGCCATTCTTGGGACTACAAAGAAACTCGCAAAAGAGACGGCTCAAGGCCTCTATCAGGGATTGCAGCATTATGTCGACAGCAAGGAGAAATCAACTGGTACCGTTGGTAAGAAGGGGAAACCAGACACTTCTATGGAATATTGGCCGCTTATCAAGGTGGTCCGAATATTTACAAAGGCTGACGCTCTTTCTACTGGAGCTGTGGTGGTTGATCTGGTACGTTCCTGTACTGACTTTTGTTTGCTCTCTGGCCAGCTCTCTAAGGACTGCCTAAGATACTTACTTAGGGCACACCTAGCTCTGTTCCGTTGATATACACTATTTTCATGTATACACAGCTACTTATGGTCCGATACTGATAATTTTTCTTTCTATTAGCCTGGTGTTCAAGACTCGAATGCAGCTCGAGCAGCTGTAGCAGTGAACTACATGAAGTCCTGCACCGGTATCTGGGTTGTGGCTCCAATCACTCGCGCCGTTGATAATCAAACAGCAAAATCCTTACTTGGCGATTCTTTCAAAAGACAGCTCAAGTATGATGGAACCTATACGGCTGTAAGCTTCATCTGTTCGAAGGCAGATGATATCTCAAACGAAGAGGCTAGCAGAAGCCTCGGTCTCGAAGCCGAGTTCTCAGAATCTTGGAACGCCGCTGAAGAGATGGAGAAAACAGTAAAGTCATACCAGGCTCGTATTTCTAGTATCAAGGAGAAAAAGGCAATGATTTGGCAACAATCTGAGGAGTGCGACAATGATACCGACGTCTGGGAAGACTTGGAAACCCAACTATCAACAGGTGATACAGTCTATGCACCATCAAACCCCAAGAAGCGGCACCGAAGTGTAGAATCTCTCGAGAACAGTGAAAGCCGCATACCCCTGACAGAAGATGATATCGAGGATCAGCTATCGTCACTGAGAGCAAAGCGAAAGCAATTGCGAAAGGAGAGATCCTTATTCGATGCCGAGATTATTAAGATCAAGGAGGCTATTCGTGCGACTCAAGCAAAGCGGGAGAGGATTCTTGAAGACGTCAGGGCGAGTCTCATCCAGGGCCGAAACAACTACGCAAAAGGTGCTATCAAGGCGGATTTTGCGACGGGAATCAAAGAGTAAGGTACCCCTGCGGCCGTTGAATACACGTTTTTCTTTGATTGTAGCTAACATGACTAGACTTGACCAAGAGAACGCTGTAGAGGAAGATGATGCGGCATTTGACCCTGATCATGATGCTCGTGATTATGCTGAGATTGCCCGCAATCTTCCCGTCTTCTGCGTCAGCAGTCGTGCCTATCAAAAACTCAAAGGAAAGCTGGAGCGGGACGACTTCATGAGCTATGGTTTCCAATCGATCGAAGATACCGAGATCCCGAAGTTGCAGGAGCATGCAAAGAAGCTGACTGAAGCTCGCCGCATCAGTCATTGCCGCCAGTTTCTGAACGATTTGTCTCAGCTTATCAATTCGATGAAGCTATGGTCAGCTAACGATGACACGGAGTCAAATCTATCCGATAGTGAGAAAGACCAGGAAGAGAAGCACCTGCAGAAACTGCTGGACCAATTGGAAGAGGTATGTTGACTTGTCACATCCAGGTTTCATTTACGGCGATTACTGGCATGTATCATAAAATGAGAAAAGACAGGGCAATTGTTGGTGAACCCAAATCATGTAGCTCGAAAATTTAAATCACCACATTCCATGGTGTTTGTCGCACATCATCGCGACACTTCAACCCATGGTGTTTATTCGGCGATTACGGCGATTATTTACCGTTTATTCCACCATGGCGTTTATGACACAGTTATCACAGATATCACAGAATTCTCATTGTCCCTGTCAATCCGAAGCCATTTAACGCGACTGTGATAGCAGTGATATCATTGTGCCTTGGTCGAACACAACTAATGCTGTGCTACAGGATCTCCAATCGTCACTAAAGCGCTCGATAGCACTCATTCAGTCCTCTCTGCAGGAGCATATCTTTGATAATATAGCTTCAACTACGCCGTCGGCAATCGAAGCCGCTCCCAATACTGCTTATTCTTGGGGTGCACATCGAAGCGAGGGTGGCTTATTCTGGGCAACATACAAGGCAACAGTTCGCCGCCAGGGCGTTTACTGTGGTGCGTCTGGGCCTAGGGACTTTAATTCAGAGCTCTTTGATCCTATATCCCGACGCCTAGCAACTGGCTGGGAACGAGCTTTCCAGCGTTGCGTTCCACGTATACTGAAAGCCTTTGCAACGGAAGCGGTCGACGAGCTGAAGCAGTTTCATCAGACAGTGAAGGCTCGAGCGGAAGAGCGCCGAAATAGAACTGCTGGAATAGCCACTCTATCAAGCCAAATATCGGCGCATGCTCGAACTTTGGAAGCACTGCCAGGGGCTATGAACGAGAAAATGACGGCCTCTCAACGTGAGGCTAGCCGATCTTTCACCCCCGTCATCCAGGATGAGATGGGCGATGCCTACACCATCTGCACTAACGAGCATGGGACAGGTTCATATGCCCGAATGAAGGCAGCAATGTTAAATCATGTAGACACCGCTCGTCATACCATGTTCGACAACGCTACTGACGAAGTCAAGCATGAACTTGGGATAACGTGTCGAAGCGTGATGGAGGTAAGAGTTTCCACTGTCCAAGGTTCTGTGTGTTAGGGAGAGAACGTTTCTAGTTACTCAAAGCTGCCAAAAATTCCGCAATGATCTTGTGTCTAACATAACTTCTTACATTTGACTGTGTGCAGGATATTTGTGCGACAATTGACACTATCTTTACAACCATCACTTCAGAGTACAAGCGTACTTTAGGTGAGTAGACCAATTCAGCTTGCTCTCAGGGTATATGACTAACATTGGCCAGTGGGAGATACATCTTCCGGCATGCCGAAGATACTGACCCCCGATGAACTTGAGATGCGAAGCCGTGTGCACAAAGTTTTACTGGGTAGCAACACGACGTTCGCTCCCATCTTAGGTGAACCCGCTTGTGAGGTATCGCATAACGAGGGCGCCGAAAATGTCGAGTTGGAGGATAGTAAAGATATGGACGCGCTTATCCAAGCCGACATCCGAGATCAAGACTCGACCGATGAATCGTAGGACGGCTTGTCGGATCACGCCCAAACATATTGGTTAAAGTCTAAGTTGAAATCAGAGGCATAGTTTCCGAAAAACCTCTTACAAGAGAATCGGATCTGTAGAAACAGTTGTGCTCAAATTATGAGTTAACTGAGCAGTGTACCGCGCTGGAGATTGTTGCTAAAAATTGCAAATTTCCGAGCCGAACCTCAAAAACTACGAGAGGGGATTTGATTGGCTGACCTTAGCCCAAATGATAAAGGCGTCGAAACTGCGCTTAGAATTGCAAGGCCTGCGTGTATTTATACTGAAAGAAAAGAAGGAAGGAAATGGGTTCTACCAAGTCAAACGAGCAAAATGCCTAGGCCATTGATAGCCCACTATATTATTTATTAAAAGCAAGAAGGAGTGTTATCGCCAGTGTTATGATTAAGGTCTAATCACCGTACAACTACCTACGATTGATTGTTTGGAAGGAACAAGTATTTGAACGATGGTTTCGCCAACGTTTACTGAACTGGGCAGGAGGCGGTACGGGGACGCGAGGATCCCGCTCTTGGCTGCATATACTGGCACCCCATTCAGGTCCCGTGGCGGCAGACCATGGCGTCTCGCCAATCTTACTGCCATCTATCCATCCCTAGGTGTCCAGATAATTAAACATAACGAGAATGGTTGGCCGGATCCTCAAAGCGAAGACTACGATTATAAGGTTAGCTAGCTACTACTTCGCAAGATTGCTCCAAACAGTTCTTCGATTCTAGACCGAGCATCTAGCCTCTAAATGGCAGTCCACTGGAGCATGTATGCTAGCTAGCTCCCTCCTCGCTTATCCGGTTGGTTAACCGGCTCCCGTCAATGCCCCTTGTCGTCATCACCTCCACGGCACGCAAGTTGCAGTCCCATCTACTTGCGAAGAAAAACCGTCGGCTGTTATATGACTGGTCCGTTACGTAGCAGGAGCATCACACCACCGTGCGCTCCAATGCGAGATCCGCGAATACTCATGCTGGGGACGACGCAACGTCCATCCTCGGTCTAGCCGTTCCTGACTTCTCACCTTCAGGGGACCGTGGAGTACACATATATATATATATATCGCCAGGAGTAGCAGCAAGCTCCGTGGGCGACGTATGCCGTAGACTCGCGGGGGATATAAGTGGTGTGTAATTTATCCGGTCTTCTGGTTTCGTTACCTCTGCCTGTCGGCAGTCCGTCCTGTAAATATTCCGCACCACTAATCAAAGACGGCAGACTCATCATCCTATTTAGTTACGTAAAATGGAACTTATGTGAGGCTATATCGACCGGCGTTGAAGCGTCGGGCAACCTATTACACCTTGCCTTGATATTGGATTGTCAAGCGGTCCGACGCCTCCACGTTTTCCGTGCTTCCCGATCGGATTGGCCATAGAGGTTCTGGGGAATAGAGGAGCTCTTCTTCGTCCATTGAGAGATGGTGGCGTTATTCGATTGCATTAATAGCTATGGTGCTTTACCAGGCCATCTAGGGTTGGATATATATTGACATGGCGTTTCCACCATGTGTGCCGCTCTCATGAACTCTGCAAGGGAAATAATTTCAGAGTCATTGGTAAGATAGTTGCCAATAGCTTCATAATTCACACAGTATTAAATCAAGATGACGCTGGGATTTTGGGTGATTCTGGGGGCCATCAGTGTGTCAGTCCGACCAATATTCGCACAGAACTACCCCCTCGTCACAGACTCCAGATGTAATTGCTACCGAACAAACACATCGACGTCGCACTACTTCCGAAACCACAAGTTCTTCGATTTCCGGTCTCTATCGCAGTATGCCCGCGTACCAGCCCCGATAGACACAGCCCAAGGAAACGCAGACGCGCCCCCGTCAAGCCTGTACTTCCAATCGCCAGAATGGACGAACACATGGGCGATCCAGAACTGGAACAACAGCGCAATGATGGGCGGCGACTCGGACGTCACGGGAAGCGACGCAACGGTGCTCATGGTGAACTCGCCGAATAACATCTACATCCAGCACAACGACGACCAGAAGGCAGGTTCGAACACCTATCTCGTGATGCGCACCATGCGCCACGGAAACTTCCAGTCTGCGGCCGAGATCGAGTCCGGGTCTTACAATTACCAGTACCTGTCCATCCGCATGCTGGCTCGGACGAGGGGGGCCAAGGGCGCGGTCACGGCCATGTTCACGTTCCGCAACAACGACACGCTGGCGAAGGTTCAGGAGTCGGATCTCGAGATACGCACCGACGACCCCGTGCAGTACATCCAGTACACGAACCAGCCGAGCTGGAACGCGGACGGCAACATCCCCCAGGCGACGCGCAACGTCAGCTTACCGTCCAAGAAGGGCTGGAGTGACTGGCAGTATCATCGGATGGACGTGAGTGACATTCCTTTCTTTCGTCGCAGCGAGCTCCAGGTTGCTTATTCCGAGAGCACGGGAGTTCAACGCGCACGCACCTACATAGCCACGAAGAACACAACTAACCATCATCCTCGCAACTACAGTGGACCCCGGGATCAACAAGCTGGCTCGTGGACGGCAAGCTCGTGTCGACGATCCAGTTCCAAGCGCCGAAAGACCCCAGCCAGGTCATCTTCAACACGTGGAGCGACGGGGGCACCTGGAGCGGGAACATGACGGTGAACACGACGGCGGAGATGCAGATCCAATGGATCGAGATCGTCTACAACACCACCACCACCGGCACCGGCACCGTCCCGCCCGGTCCGTTCCCTCCTGGGTGGCCGACGCCCCAGAACTGCGCCAACATCTGCTCCATCGACCAGACCTGGAAGACCGGGACGCCCGTATTGGTGCAGAGTCCAGGGTGTATGACTTATTTCCTCGACTTATTCATCCCCTTTTCTCTTGCTTCTGTTTATTTTCTTGCTCGTGTATTGTGCTTCTATATATTCTTGAGCGCTATAGCTGACGTACCATTCTCGATACAGCCGCCCCCCCTCCCGGTAGCGGTGGTAGCAGCGGTGGCAGTGGCGGCAGTGGCGGTAGTGGCGGTACCGGAACCTGTTCGACGGCGAAATACGGACAATGCGCAGGGAAGAACTGGAGTGGATGCGGCCGCTGTGCCTCCGGCTCGACGTGCAAGTTTCAGAACGATTACTATTCGCAGTGCTTGTAGGCACTCCAAACCCCAAAAAAAAAAAAAAGAAAAGAATCCGACTGTCATTATGGCTATTTCGGCGCTGTTGTTTTAGCAAGGAAGCGAGTTACTTGGAAAGCCTACGGTATCCCTGTAGGGCATTTATCATATTGACATCTCTATGAATCGTCACACCTCTCCTTGTCTCATCCTCTATCTTCACCCCCGCTCCCCCCCCTCCTTTCCCAGTATAAAGTCGTGATTTCATCTCGGTAAATGATCGATCATAACGAAAACAGGAGTCCAACAACCCAAAAAATGCAGAGAAGAATATTAATGCTTCATGTAAATCGTGATCCAAAAACAAATCCAATCAATTCCAGAATTCCCCGCTCCTCCAAAATCGTCGTTATAGTTAGTACTGATATAACCCAAATGAAGGGATCTCATAAACGCCAGGTCCAAGCATCCTTTCCTATATATCGCACATATTTCTTGATTTATATCCAAAATTGATGTTATTTGTTGGTAAATCTTGTTGAAAGGTTTTTAAAAGGGGTATTTTTCGTTCGTAGGTAGGTAGGCAATTAGACCTGCCCCCTCCCCATCTCATCATCCGTCGCGGACTGGATCGGTCCCGGATCCTCATCGCGCCTGCTAGACCCGTGGCCTTCCCAGTCGTCCTTGCTTCCCCTGCTATCGCGGGAAGCAGTCTGTCGGAGATGCGCCGTGTGCGCCGCGTAATCCGGCCCCGGCTCGTATGGTGGGAGGTCCGGTTCTGCTGCTGGGACGATGGCAGGAGCCGGAGGAGACCTAGATCCAGATCGTGACGAAGATGAGCCGCCGCCGCCTCGTACCCCTGGTACGTACGCTTCTCTGTCTCCCTCTTCCGCGATCTTCTCTCGTTGCTCTGCCCTCGGTCCTGTGCGGAATTTACGGAGGAGAACGATCAGTACCCAGAGAACCCACATCGTGCCCGCGATGACAGCGTACGCGATTACCGCGGGCCCTTGCGTCCTGGCCAGCGCGAACCCGAGACCGCCGTTGATAATACCTAGTGTGATCCCCAGACGGCCCGTCCATAAATGCGCGTAAGAGACCCACGTGCGGCGCTTGAGCCTTTTGAATCGCCGATGATGCGCGACGCCGAGGACGGGCTGGATGAACAGCGCTACGAGGAGCGCGATGCCGATGATCGGGTGTGCGTTCGTGCTCGCCATGTCGAGAAGGCTCTTGTTCTCCGGCGGAAAGTGCACGATGCTCACAAGATAGAGCCCTAGGCCTGCGCCGGCGATGTACGTCGCGTACGAGAAGAGCTGGACGAATCCGTGCACGAAGAGTGCGGCGCGGCCGGGCACGACGCGCATGAGGATCGAGCCGAGCGGGAACAAGAATCCGAATGCGATGGCGGCTAGAGCGCCGTGGGCGGCAGGCAACGTCGTCATGAGGCCGTACATGTCGATGTAGTCGTTGATAGGAGAGCTTGGGGCATACCCGCCATTATTACCTGGGTTGTTTCCTCCGCCGTTGCCGTTGCCGCTGCCGCTGCCAGGGCCGAAGTAGCCGCTTCCGTTCCCGCCGCTGTCACCATTGCTGCCAGAGCCATCTCCGCCGCCGCTGTCGCCGCCATTGCTGCCGCCGCCGCCGTTACCGCTGTCATCGCCATCGTTATTATTATTGCCATCATCGTTGCTATTGGGGTTGGAGCTGTACGGATTACTGATGCCGCTACCAACTGGTGGGTTCCAAGTGGTTGGGACCCCGCCGAACTGCCGTTTCCCCTGGGCATCGACATATGTTGCAACTAAGATGAGTATTAGTGAGACGCTCGAGACGATGATCAACTTCGCCCTCTATGTCCATGAGGATGAACTTCGAGTAAAGGAGAGATGAAGTGATAATAGCGAGTCATTCGAAGATTGAGATTCTCCTTACCTAGACCAAGAAGGCCAGAGAGCATCACAGCTCTCCGCAGCAACACCGTCTTCATGATGCCGGCGTATGAACCCGAGTAGTCGAAAAGGTCCGGACTTTGAACTGGTCCCCTATACGACGAACGGGGCCCTGTTCGATCTGGATACCGTTCCGGGGGGTTCGACTCGAATATCCGCCTCGCGATTGGTGTAATAGGGGATTGATTGACTTATACGGTATCAATTCACTTTAACTGAAAAAGATATGTTCGCTTTGTCCCACGTAATCAATCAATCAATGCCTATTCAGAAGAAGCTCAGGTTCAAAACAAGAAAAGGTTTTCGGAATAAGTGGGAAGGTTTTCCGCAGTTGAGAGTGAGAAGTGACCAGAGTCTTTTGTGACATTACTAAACCAGTTTCCTTTCGACGGGAAAGGAAGAAAACAGGAAAGCTCTCTTTCCCACACACAACGTTTGAGGTAGGGGGCAAGGCAAGGTAGAGACGAAGGTAGACAGACAGGTGGAATGACTTGACACCTCCCTACCCATCCTCATGCCCATCCCGCCCCCAAACAGAGCCGACGGCGCCGACACAACTCAGAGGTGATGACGCAAGCCTGATCGCGGCGCACAGCAGGGAACATAGTATGTAACCACGATGGGCCGCCTTGCCTCGCCCAGTCGGAGGATTAGTTGGGGATGTTGCGCATTGTGTTCACATCTTTGCATCTCGGGGGAGCGGGCTGCTGTACGAGCGAGGTCAGAGACGCATGCAGCCTTTGATACTTTTTCTCGGGACCGAAGCGACTTGATCTCTATCACCGGTAATAGCAAAACTTGTGCGTGACAACGAGATACGCGGGATATGTATATAAGGCATCCCTGATCTCGGTAAGAAAAGAAAAGAAAAGAAAAGACTGCTAAGTGCATGTCATGCATATCACCCCCATGTGCGACTTTGTGGCGGCTTATCAGAGTCGGGCTGAGACGGGACAGGGAGGCACGTCGGCACCGAAGTCTGACCAGATCCCCGATTCGTTCCTAGATAGGCAGCGCGAGCGTGCCGATATTGCCATCAAGTGCCCGCTTACAATGTGATTGATCGTGAATCCAACATGGTTCTCACTCGGAGATGGAAATAAGCCTTAGACGCGAATATAAAAACCAGGCGTACAGCTGCTATTTCAGGAAGAAGAAGTATCATATAATTTCTCTCATTGATTATAGTTGGAGTGGCCTACTCCTACCTCCTCACACAGAATCATTTTCGTTCAGTCATTTGCCATGATCCTAGACATCAAGCAGCGTATACTTCCCCCCCACGTAAACGAACAAGAGAGTAAACCTAATAACTAAGTACCTACCTACCTACCTACTGCATCTACTCTAGGCACCTAAGCCATGCAAGCGTCCATTAACAAGATCTCCAGACCCCCTCTGACCTTTAAATCCATCCTCATTCCTTTATCTGTGCCAGGCGTCGAAAGGCGCAAACCTAACAATCAGGGCCCCAACCGGTGTAAACAAAAGTCCCGTTGCATCCTTCGTTTCAGCCTTGAAGCTGAGTTATAAGTAGGCAGGTAGGCAGGCAGGCTAGGTACATGATGCTGAAACCAACAAGTAAGTAAGTTAGGATGGGTAGGTAATCAGCATCAAGTGGTACCAGCCCACCACCATAAAGCTAGACGGAATAACCCAACACCGGAATAAGCCGAAGGCACGGCCTTTCAGTACCAGCCAAGTTGCATCCATCCCAGCATCTCCCCAGACCGTCCGTGACTCTGGTTTAAAGTTTTTCCACGTCTGTGCTTCCATGTGGATAATGTCTTCTTCGTAAAGTCCACAGAACAATGGCATAACCTACCCAAGAGGATAAATATGCAGACTTGGGCTTCTCAGATAAAACAGTACAGCACGTAGGGGTGGGTGTTGGTTGGGGCTAGAATAGATAATCGTGGGTATATTGTTCGGAAAGAGGACTGCCCAGGCAAAGGTGTGCATGACATGAGTGTATGTATGCATGTATATGTATGTACATCTAGATTGAGGAGCCTAGTGAACATGATGACCCTTGATTGTCCTATATACATATTTGAAGGGACGTCATGTGTACAGTTAAAGAGTGCCTGCTCTTGAACGACTTTCGTGTCAATTTTAGTATGGCGGAATGAGCTATACCCACACCGACTATGGAGTTAGCTGTTGCTGTTTTTTTCCGGGGCAACTCAACTGTTTTGGAAGCGTTTGGCCATGCGTGTCATGGCATGATTCGGGAGTTTTGAGAGACCACGGAGCATAATGGAAAGCAACGAAAGACTAGCAAATCATTACGGAAATCACATACGAAAACAAATAGTTATCAACGCAAGTTGTATTTGTTAAAAACAATGACCAACCGCAAGGCGCATGTGTGCAGACATAAAAACTGAGTTTGCGACTTCATCAAGGCCTGTTTTGAGCATCTATTCCATTGATCCACCACCTCGAAATGCGAGCCGAGCTGCACGAAAACCTCCAACCATGTACTTGAGTATGCCGAAAAGGGTATATTGCGAGGATCCACGAGCCGAGGTGAGAAGACACTGTGGGAAATGCACGCCGAGCAGTAATCAAACCACATTACAAAGGCCAACACAGCTGCACTGCAACGACTTCCATCAAGCCCCGCGTCATTAGAGAGGAAAATGCTGCCAGATTGCCCCTTAAAGAGACGAGATTCGACCAAGTCAGAGCAGGTCAAAAGAAGAAAAGAAAAAATCATAATAGGAAATCGTCGGTGTCTCTAAGTGCGATTCACCATTTCACCCAGAGCGCCAGCTTTTTTGGTGCAACATGACCGTATAAAAGGCAACGCAACGAGACAGCACCAGGCGCCAACAATCCAGTGCTTTGACTCGGTCGCAATGTCTTGAAGTCTCGTGACCATAAGAGCAAGTTCATAGACGGCATCAAGACGTTCAAGTTCCATCCGACCATTCGAAAATCAATGCAGCAAAACCGGAGATATCGATGCATGGGTCAACAATTGACCGGGCCGTAACGCCAGAAACGCAGGACGCCGTGATGCAAAATGTGCAAAGAAGGATCACTGTGACAGGTCAGCATTATATCCTACTATAGAGAAGGAAGTCTTTGCTGGTGAAGCTGAGCATACCTGAGGTCCAAGTCCACCGGGAGGGCCCTGATGAGCGCTACCACCGAAAGCGCCGCCAAAGGCACCAGGGCCAGGAGGGCCAGCGGGTCCAGTTGGACCCGGAGGGAAATAGTGGGGAGGGGGAGGAGCAGGGCGATAAGGGGTGCCGACACCCGAGTTATTCTGCGATCGGCCCCAAGATAAGCGAACTCGTGAGTTTCCGATGGGATAGCCCTGCATCTGATTGATAGCCATCTCTGCAGCATGCCGATGGACAAATTGAACAAATCCGCAGCCCTTTCCAGGGGGAATCTTGACGTAGGTGATTTCTCCAAAACCTTGGAAGAATGAACGTAGCTCATCCTCGGTAACGTAGCCAGATAAGCCACCAACGAAGACGGTCGTGTTATTCGGGTCGGTGAATTGGTTCATCGCCATGGGATTGAAAGTTCCAGCAGGTTGGTAGCCATAGGACTGTTGGGGCTGGGCCATCCAAGGCGCCGCGCCACCCATCGCACCGTGATGAGGAGCTTGAGGAGCAGGCACCATTTGTTGAGCGCCGCCGAACTGGTTATAATGGTTTCCCTGGTGGCCGCTATCATCAAAATTAGTCAACTGAATTTGTTACAGAGGATATGGGATACACACCGATTCTTAGGAGTGGCGGGAGACACGCGCATAGGCCTATTACCACAATAGACGCCTTGCATCTCAGTGAGTGCACGCTGCTGGTCCTCTTCGTTTGAGAAGCGTACAAATCCATAGCCGCGAGACTGCCCAGTCTGCTGATCTGTCATGATCTTTGCTGATTTGCAGGATGGGAACCGGTTCTGAAAGAGGGCAACAAGGACAAACTCATTAACCTCGTGCCCGAGATCGCCAACAAAGATGGAATACTCGGGGCTACGATCATCACGACGATCAACCAATCCGCCACCAGAAGCCCAGTTGAGGCGGAACAGTCTGTCGGTATTGGGGATGGGGGATCCATTCAGCTGGAGAGCCTTTTGGGCCCCTTCAGGGGTGGAAAACTCGACGAAACAATAGCCAGCATTGCTGTTACTTGTCAGCTAAGATGGGTCACCTAATTGGAAGGCAGGAGAGAAAGCTAGGAGGTGGGTGCAAAATCGACATGAGATTAAGGTCAGATACATACCCAGAGTGTCGATCACGAATGATTTTTACTTGAACATTCTCATTCATGGCGCTATTGTAGACAGTGCGGATGAAGTTCTCGTCCATCCATGGTGCAAGTTCACCCATCCTATATCTTGTTAGATTTTCATCATGTTATTGAAACCATCGACGTACCATAGAGTTTGGCGTGCAGAATCATTCTGGAACACTGGGGCCATTTCGCTGCCTCCCTGTCCATTAGCGGGAGGGATAGGGAGCCCAGCGGGGTTTACACCAGGCGCCCCTTGAGAGCCAGCGTCACCTTGGGATCCAGAGCCATTCGAGGCTGGCTTGCCATTAAAAGAATTGAAGCCGTCCATAATGCCTTGAGTGGAGGTTAGTATAACAACATGTCAACGGGCGGGGTTGTCGCGAAACAATCAAGGACAGACAACTCATAGACGGAGAAATGAGCACTGCCGATGATAGGCGACCTTATGGGGTATATTTGATGTGTGAAGCTTTACTCACTAGGTAGAGATAATTGAGATAACCACGAAAGTAGGTGAGAATCAAACTTAGCAGACCTGACTCCTATATTAGTAAAGGTACGACCAGGTAAAGAAGTACTAGACAATCGACAATTTCAGGATCAAGGTGTTAATATGGATTGTAGAATTTAGAATGCTTTGTGCAACTGGTAAAGTAGCAAGTTGTACGTCGAAACACGGCCACTGGCAGATGAAGGAAGGGTAACGAGTTGGGCAATCAGTAACCATACGTTACTAGTTCTTCAGATCGAGAATTTGAACCATCACTCATAAATTTGGGATAGCAATATTTGCGCGCTTAAAAGAAGCCGAGCACGGCACATGTGGTGTTTGGGTCGGGGTAGAATGCTGATGCTGAAAACCAAAGATGCAGAGCCAATAATAGAGAAATCAGGTTGTGAGGCAGGGTAATGAATAGTTTAGTGGAGTGAAAAGAGAGCCATAGTAATCAGGATAAATTGTAACACGTCTGGTACTAGTGGAATGACATAATATGGAATTGGGAAACTATTGCAAGGGCTCAATCAACTCAAATGAGCATTTGTGAGTAGGGGATTGATGCAGGTGTGTAGATTTAGGCCCATTAGGTCTCTTTTGAGACGTTGATGTTGAGCTCCTTCAATGTGTTCAATAACATCTCAAACTAAGATGTGAAGGTCTGTGCACAGCGAACGATAACAGGAAAAAACTCACCTAGAGCACACCTGGGGACGAAGAAAGGTAAAGTCTAGATGATTGAAATGCTTGGGATGCGTAGTCTGTCAAGGCTGGGGGATAGTAGAGACCGAGCTAGGATTTTGCAACTTGCAGAGTGCGTCTGTGAACAACAGAACGCCGAATTAGCACATGATAGTACAAAGGGAACAACCAAAAGTAAGGGGCGACGCAGTTGTCAACAGTAGGGAGAATAATAGAAAAGACAACATCCGGTAGTTTGAACATAGTTGATAGTTGAACATGTAATTATGCAAGGCTTGTCTAGCATAGATAGCTCAAGAAAATAGACAGACATGCTGCTTTCCGGCGATGTTTGGTATAGGTGTACAGGTCGACCATGATACCAAGATTACACTCGCAATATAGTGAAAACGAACAAGATGTGGCATTCTGGAAGTAGGAGAAAAAACAAATCAAAACTCTTGGGTGGAAAGGTGAAATATTTTGATAGACTCAGGAAAATGGTTGATAGTCTGAACTCACCTGGCTGAAATAGATCAATTGACTGATATCCAGATCGTGCAAATCAGTGAGACCAGCAATCAACGCCGACGCCCGAAGTCCGAATGCAGAATCGAACGCAAACGATAGCAATTGGAGCCGAGTCTAAGGTCTAATTTTCGTTTCGCCAACCGGATACAAGAGGATACTTGACGAAGGAGATGAAACCGAGAGGTTAAGCCGTGACTAAATCTAACGTAGGTACTGAATAATTGCGTAACCTGGGAAAGAATGTGAGCATTATGAAACCATGCCTTATGGTAGCTGAAAGCAGCTCTCAAATAGTGTTCAAGCTCCGTTGCGAATGGTCGGTCGTGTAGCGGGCTTGACAAGACCACTTATTCTGTCTCGGCTTATTGACCCCTCAACTGTACAAGTCGATGGCCTGAGGAGTGAACATATTATGAAGACTTTCAAGAGCTTCAGCGAAGTTGTTTGCCTATAACGATCTAGGCTGCTAGCTCGGATCCAGAGTTCATTTGAGGGGTGCTTTTCAAAGTTCTGAAAAAGGTTGCAGCCAGTGCCAGTTGCATTGCAGGAAGCCGCTGGAACGATGTTAGCTAAGTGAAAAGAAAGCAGAGAAATGTAGTCAAAGTGAGGATGTCTCGTATTCGGCATGACATTCTAACAAGAGCCTGGCAGTGTGACTGGCAGTAGCGCCTCACCAAGATTTTGGCCCAATTCAGAGAGACTAGCAGGAAACGTTCCTCAAACAAGCGGAGACTTTACTTACCCCATTGTATACTTTGACATGTTGGTAGATATCCAAAACAGTAATTCAATTATTCCCTGTGTTGCAGTAGCAAACCTAGGGACAATCTTAATTGGTTTTGTTGTGCATTATCATCCCCAAAATATTATGCTTCTGCATAAGAACGAATTGTATATCCCCAATATAGGCTAAGAAAAGATATGGCCCGGGATTCGAAGCTTCTTAATTCGCGGCTGCCGATTGAACTAGAGGAGGAGCGCATGGAGTCGACGTTGTTGCATTTGCCGGGTGCTTAATCGATATCTTCCTTCCTCGGTGGTAGATTGGAAGTAATCCGAAAAGGCTTTGGAAAGACATCGACTGGTCCCAACTAGTCCCTAAGCCGTCAACGGTAATGTTTTCGGCGCATCGGCCGTTGTTCCGTCGCCTTTTCTCTCAGCAAGGAATAAAGCATCAGGGCGCAAATGGGCAGCGGATTCGAGAGTGAGTTTGCAAAGTGTGCCACATCCAATCAATTTTGTGGTAGTGTGCCTCTGTGCGCGTCGGTCTCGTAAGAAGGCAATACGCGGGCGATTTGGAATTGGGTAGGATTGAAGTGAGATCGTAGTGGGGCCGAGGTGGAAGGCAAGCTGGATATGCTTTGGCGGTGCGGTCGAGGGTCGACACGATGATTAAACAATAAGTGTTGCAGGTGATGAGCAACAAGGAATCGCAAGATTCGCACAAAGCGACGAGAACTCAAGGATTGGCGGCGCCGTGATGCGCTGTCGAGACTCTTCGGCCTCAAGAGGCCACCTTGGAGCCCAGTAGTGGGTATGGAGCTAGCTTCGATGACGCAGTTTTGGGGGCGACGGTCCAATGCCGATCATGACCCCAAACAGAGGTGCCATTGGACTGGTCGCTTCGACGCAGAGCTGAATTGCCGTAATGAAGACAAGCGCAAAAGCAACATGATGGTAGTCGCGCATTGTCTCGAGGGTTGCTTCGGAGCTTGAACACTAGAGAGAGAGAGGGCTGCGCAAAGGGCAGAGGTGCAAGAGGGGCCAAGAAAAAGAGGGCGACTTACTTTTGGGCACCAATCGGAACAGAGTGGAAAGCAGCAGGGAGGTAGTAGTAGGGTCCGGGATGAACTCCAACGAGGATCGAGGTCACAACGCAATTGTTCAGTTGAGATGGAATAAAAAAAAGGGACTCTCAGAGCTCGACGTGGCCGTGCGATAAGGTGCTAAGGACTAGAATGTAATGACAAGAAAAGCTGGGTGGGCCTTCTAGCTGGGCAACGATGCGACAATAGAAGGACGGAAATCCGAGTTGGCCGCGCACGCGCACACACACACAACACAATACAGCCAGACCTGGGTACGAAACGATGCTCTTGACACAGCGCGCGCAACCGACAAAACCGCGAGAAGCAGGCGGGAGGAGGGGGAGACAGTGGTGAGACTAGGGTTGAGAGGGGGAGGGAGCGGAGGCGAGAGAGGGAGAGGGAGAGAAAGAGAAGAGAAAAAAGGGGACTCGGAGGGAATTGAGTAAGTGGTAAGTAAGTAAGGAAGTAAGGAAGTAAAGAAGTGAGTGAGTGTGTGAGTGAGTGTGTGCGTAAGAAGAGAGGAGAATAAAACACGAGCAAGAAACGCAAAAAGCAGACGACAGACAGGCCAGGACAGGACAACGATGGTGCTGGTTTGGGTTGCGGGTTTGGTGTGGATGTGTAAGTGGGAAAAAAATGATCGAGGGTGGACTGGACTTGGGCCAGGTGGGCTAAACCGAGAGCCTAGCGTAAGGCCGAAGCCTCTGGCGGCCGCATGCACACGGACACAAGAGGACGACGCCCACTATAACGACAGCGCTATACTGGGTACCTAGGTGGCCTGTAATGCCTGTATAATGCCTGTAATGCCTGCACTACAGCTCTCACTGTTCTTTAGGTACCTAGATACCTACCTAACCTACCTAGGGCTACCTCTACTTACCTAGGTACCTACGTAGCACCGTACCTTGGAGGGTACATGTAGGTATCTTGGGTTGTAGGGCAGGGCAGAAGATGGGGTAGAAAACCTACCTAGGACAAGCCAGTGGAGCAGGCACACACACTCTCTCGAGACTCTCTCCGGGCTGTCTTTTTAAAGGTCTTTTGGAGAGGGGCGCAAGCTCTCCGGCGCAGCTTAGGTGCCTCCACTGCCTACATAGGTACCTACAGTAGGTAGGTAGGTAAGTAACTTACCTGGTAGGAGGTTCACTAACGGGGAGCTGCTACCTACTTCCCTCTACCTAAGTACCTACCTACCTACCTAGGTAGACAGTAGGTATGGGCAGGCATCCAAATAGGTACTCAGGTGCCTACATATGTACACCTTATGGAGGCATCTTCTTTACCATCACACCCATTCACTACGGTACCTACCTTGCTACCTTGATTTAGACAATTCGCTTAGCTGACATGCTTTAGGCTAGGTAGGTGCTCCGGTATGTACCTATTGCAAGTGGGCGAATGGGTGTCACAAGTTTACTTACGTAGGTAGCTGTGTTTTGCTTGATGGCGTCAAAAGTCTAAACGGGCTACCGGGAACCTTCTAGCCTGGCTCGAAGTTTGCCTAGACCGGCCTAAGCCAGCCTAAGGAACCTTAGGAGTGGGGAGTAAAAGGTAGGTAATACTCAAGGTAATACCTCAGCACTTACTTGTCTGGGTAGGTAGGTAAGTATATGTAGGTGTGTACAAGACTAGGTATGTATGTACCTACGGTAAAAAGCATGCATCTGCGTGACTTATATGGTTCTACAAGTCCTGACCTACTATCTATCAACTTGAGAGAGAATCAGGGTCATTTTTAAAATTCCGGAAGACAGATTGTGGTTTATTTCATAGGCGAGAATATACTAAGGTGGGCATATGCAGCTGTGGTGACGACTGAAGTCGCTCTTGATTCTTGAGCAGCGAATGAGCCGCAGCCATTACATGCCTATTGAGGCAGAGACGTACGTACGTTTGGAGAAATATACTTGGATATCTGCTCACCTATAATACCGACGAACCTCGAACTTGAATATTTGGTAACTTAAATGTTATTATGTAGGCACTATGTAGGTAGGTAGATAGGTAGATACCCGAAATACCTATATAGTTAATTGTATGTTGTATGGCCGGCTGAGATCTCACGGTAGCTTTATGAATAGGTAGGCCCTAGTGTTTCTTTACAACTTATTTGAATTATGTTCTCATTGCGCTGGTCTTGCAAACAGAATCAAGCTGGTTGTACTTCGTAGCTATTGCGCCTTTTCTTTTTCGGTTTGCATGTAGACCCCCAGCCCTCTAATTTGAATTCTGTATGAAAGCCTTCCCATTCACTGTTTGCGTGCCACGCTTCCATATGGCAGGTCCCGTTTCTCAAACAGCTTGAACATGTGAAAGTTGACAAGTCATCAAATCGCGATCATCACGTATACCTATCTTGCTGGCCATGAAGACCAGGCAAATCGTCCACTGCCACCCGTAATTTACTTTGAAGCCATTTACCGTCTGTGCGTGTTTCTTTTTGGGAGAGTTACATACAAAACCCTGTCTAGCGTCTTTCCAGAACTCTGGCATCTTCTATTACCGGGGGCAGGATGGAGAAGCTGGTAAAACCTAGACGAGCTACATGCCTAAGTACGTTATAGCTAAAAATTGCATGCTAGTAGACTCTGCTTAACTGAATGTGCTTAGGTCGGGTGGAATTGACTCGCGTGCGCTTACATCGGTGTATGTATTCTATCTAGGCCCCTCCGATTCTACAGATTCAAGGTTTTGTGCCGATGAGTGAGTGGTACCCGAGAAACGGCAACCAGTTCCATCATGTGAACGGAGAGGAATGATGGCGAAGGTGCTTGATCGTGCCGAGTCTTGGCTTCTTCAACATAGACATGAAATGGGGCTTATGCCTGCCCAATGACGAGCGCGACCATCTTGATTGGCCCATGGATCAGCGGAATCGAGCCAACCTTTACTGGATCGCGGATAACGCATCTGTATCCAAGCTTCAGTTGTCGACATGCCGTTGCGAAGCCGGTACGCTGTACATAGGCGCCCGATTCTTGACTCCTGGCAGTATTTTTAGCATGTTTGTGTTTACTTACTGTACCAGCCTAGCCGACGAGGGAAACGCGAACCTCAGGACTATCCGGAGTTGCCCGGCGCTGAGGAACCGAATCCTTGGAGAGGTTTGCTTGCTTGCGTTCGCTTGGTGCTCTCTTGGCGCCAAATCTTTGCAGCCGCTGTTTGAGAATTATAATTTGTGTGCTTTGTACAGCCTGTAATATGTTGCGTGGTATAGAAATGTAATGCCGTTAATTTCTCTTGCTTCCAGCTGTGTATCACCGCGGGTGTCTGCGCATCTCCTGTGTACCCAATTAATCTCATGGACAATATATCATTATGGTATTTGAATTCTCGGCAAACGCAGTTTTATCACTTCATTATACAGCATATGTAGGGGCTCTAGCTCAGACGAGATCAATTCAAAGTGAGGTAGGTGTAATAAACATATGTAGTGTACACTGAGATATTGTTTTTAGGGCCTTATGATGTCATGTTAAGGATTGTGGGATTGATATTTGCTAGCCCTACAGTTGCCTGCGATGTACTGTGTGGAAGGGGTAAGTAAGGCGCGCCGATTTCGCGAGGATGTTTGCAATGCGATTTTTTTTTCCACGTGTGTGTATAAAAACAGTTGGACTTAAAAGTTCCGGGAAATGCGCCGATCTACAACATCCCTGTCCGCCGCCAATCTGGTCGTTTCTTCAACGTTGGGGTGGCACACGTAGCGCCAAATGCCGAGCACCGCGACACAGGACATTGTGATGTCAATACTTACGTGCCGTCAGTGATACAGCCAGTCATTTCCAGCATTCATTGCTGTTCAAGATAAGCACCCGTTATTCACCACCAAGACACTTTTCTACAAGTACTGCACACTTACATCTACTAAGTAGTCTCTGGGGAATTGTGTAGGGCTCGGGATTGTCATGATTGTCCGATTAGCACAACAATGCACAAACCGTAGCCACAGTCATAACGCTAACCCATAGTACAGCCCACTTGAGCTGCCTAGAGACGAAGTCTTTTTCGCCTGTATGCCAATCAGAATCCGATCCTGAGCAAAGCTAAAAATGCACAACTCATGAGGAGGAGGATCTCGGAGGATGTGTACAATTGCACGACCAGTACGGTACGTGAATAGGGCTCGATGGGCGTCTGGCTGCTGATTCACCCACTGTACATGTACATCTCGGCGGCTAGCATTCTGCTGACGCCAACTTATCAAAGAGATGCCAAAGGACAACCCAGTCGTGTGACATACTAGTAATGTAGGGAGTGATGTGTCGGCGGTGTTGAGCCTGTTGTCATATCTACACTATCATGACCTCCAGCATACACCTGTCTCCACGGCCCCGCGAGTCAAGCAAGCAATGCGACACGCCAGCAAGCCATCGCTGATGCAACTGCAGTGTCTAGGTGATTGGGCTTAGCTTACTTGCTGCTTTTGCACAGGCTTGGCTCACCCTGTGATCAGTTGTCGTGTCATTTATCCAAGCTAGGACCGAGCATGTAGCACGTCCACGGTGTACGGGTAATGGGTATCATATTTATACACAAAGAATATACATAGGTAGGTAGCTACTCAACTCAAAAACGGATATTCCCCCTTCGTGCTTATCAGAACAGGGCTCTTGATTGTTGCCTTTACCTAAGGCTACGCTAGATCTTGGTATAACCTTCCAAGCTATTAAAAGCCCCGCGAACCAGTCCCTCATTGTTCCTGGCTCATGATGTACGTTTACATAGTACTTATACCCACATCCCCAAGGCTTGGTGTCTCGTCCAGGCTGACTGGCTCACGGCGAGTTTCCCATCCCGGTGAGCTCTCTGAACCGAAATTCTGCCAAACGTATACCTATCTTTAGCCAATGAGTTCCTAGCTGGACCTCGAACTCAGTAGCCCAACGAGGGCAAGCTCCTCTCTGTGGTTTCTCGTCTCCCAGGCCCTCTAGTGATCTACAGATAGCCTGCTGAAGCCGATAACCCGGGTGGTCAGAACAACGAAGGCGCCGAGAACATAGCATAACATGAGGGCAGATTCGCAGGTCTCCAACATCATCCAAAGGATGATCCGCAGGGAGTAGCATGTCTGCGCTAACAGGATCAGGTCTGGGGGACTGAGGAAGCTAGCTATATAAGTAATTAATTTGACCGGTAATTGTAGAAGGCGGTTGTCTAAGGTTTGTGATTTGCGAGGTCGCCTCCAGAGCGATCGCAATATGGTAAGCGCGTAGGTGAGGTTTGCCGAGAACCCCACCAGAGCGGATAATGAGCCGAGTGAGGTTGAACCTGTCGTTTTATGTTGTTTCAACAAGACAAAGAGATTAAAGACGACGGCCGGGGAACCTCCGTGTCCTCTATATAAGTGGAAGAGAAAGAGTCAGTAGTTTTCTGCCGATCAAGAGCCTTCTTTTGGATTCAAAGTACGAATAAAGCTTGCAGCTCGAGGGTTTATGTTAGTGTCCAGCCACGGTTATCTTTACTTTTACGGTTTCAATTCCTGGCGAGACGATGCTCCTCTAGAACCTGATAAGTAAGCTAACTTGTCACAGCCTACGATGTTTGATGTAAGCGGATTGAAGTCCCTTCATAGCAACATCCATAATGAAGGGCCTTTGGCATATAGTGACGTTTTGACCGACAAATGCGTGATCCTTAAGATTTCATGTACCGTAGAACATGCCTCAATCCAAACATCGATTTCGGAGAGAAAGGATCATCGTGGTTCGTGCTAGCTACCTACCTAGGTACTGTAGGTACCTAAGGTACCCAAAACCACGCTGAACTGCACCGCCACGATTTCCTCGCTGTGGCACTCCCTGTACTGCACCGCCGCATTTCATTCCATCAACTTCCTCAAGTGACGACGACCAATACCGTGACGTGAGCAACTTGCTGGCTAAACGGGCCATTGTGAAAAGGCGCGTAACCAAGTCTACCCAAGAACTTTCTCCCAATTGCGATTTTCAGACTCAAGCTAGCTTCTGATTGATAATGAATTGAATATTGATAAGTTGCGGCTTCCTATGTCTCTCACGCCAAAACCAAAACGTGCCAAGACCCTCTTCATTGTATAGAGCCTGTGTGGAGGCTTACTTTTCACATCACGCCAATTGTTACCTGGAGTTCAGTGCACGCCAGCCAACCGAACGCGATAGAGAATTTCCCAGTATCTTAATAAGAAAGACGCAGCCTGGCAAACTCCTTAGCCAATACGTATCGTCCCACTCGTCGCGGTCCCGAAAATGGCTGCATCCAACGAGGCGACGGAGCTCAAGCTCGTCTCGTCGATCAGATACAAATTTGCCTCTGCGTCGGGAGATGAGAAAAAGCTTAGTCAAGCTCTTCAATCGCAGCTTACCTCATTGCTTGAAAAAGCCGGTAGCCAACACAAGGCTGTTCGAGAGGATGCAAGTACTCACTCTCTAAGCTCCTCTGGTACTTCTACTCACACTTCCGGTAGACCTTCAAGGCTTTCATGAGTGTCAAGAATTTTGTCCAACCAGCAGGGTATGTTGTGTCCGTTAATTGGGGACTAGCTTAGAAACTCACATAACCAACAGTGTCGTCCTACCCGTTGCGGCCCTCCTAGAACAGTATAAACAGACCACGTCGCCAATCGTGAAACAGTTAGATCTTTCGTTCATTAGAGAAGGCATGTCTCGTCTTGATCAAACAAAACGCCGCGCTCTTCTTCCGGTCATACTACGTGATATATCAAAAGAGTCTAACTCAGCTAGTGCTGCTGGATTTTTTAACATATTTCTTCGCCTGCTCCTGGAAATAAAAGTTCCTGGTAGAGGCACAACAGAAGATCTTGCACTTCGAGAGGCCGTGGGCCTCGCAAATCCGTCTGATGCAAAGTACGTAGCGACTTGGCTTGGGAAGCTATCTCTTTTGCGACAAGACATAGCTTTAGCACCTGAAGAAGAGATTCCATCTAAATTAGAAGCTTCGCCATCAGGACTGACAAAAGAAAATGTTGCCTTTCTACGGAATAAGGACCCGAAATCGTACAAGCCGGACGTTCCGAACAGTCTCAGTCTTCCCGAATGCAAGTTGAAAGCTGTTGGTTTCCTCGCAAGTGGTGCATTCACCGATGACGAACGATATCTACCCATGATATGTGCAGCGGGTTCTGCTGACTCAAGAATCTCATCAATAGCGGATGATGTTATTAAGCGAGCCGACATTGATCTAGAAAACGAGGACGTGATACAGTCGTTATTTGCGGCGCATAGCACATTTCCAGCGCCTCACAGAATACAAATTCTCAGATTACTTTCAAAATCAGCTACTGCGTGTGCCCCAAAGCAGCGGGTTGTTGATGCTGTGAAAGAGGACTTCTCTTTAACCACCGACGAAAAGCCTGTCATAGTTGGCCTTGAGGCTTTGCGACTCCATAAGGCCCTCCTCGGCTTCTTGTCTTGGATCGCACGCAATAGCTCTGAAACCGAAAATGAGGACACAAAGATGGGGCCAGCTCTTGTAACAATTCTCAAGGATTACATACTAGGGCAAGGCTGGCCAGCGCCAAATCTTCAAAACAATCAATCTCGATCTCAAGATGAACAACGCCTACGAGCCCATGCTTACGAGACCATTGGTACCCTGGCAAGAGCGAGTAAACTCGATCATAAAGCAAAAGACTCTCTGCTTAAGTGGCTATTTGACTCATTGGTGTCAGATCCCAGCCCAGACATCGTTGTATATATCGAGGGCGCCCTTTCCAGTATGATGAGTCTTTTCAAGTCTACCGATACGGCCCAGCACCGGGATCTTGAGATACTCCTCCTAGAGTACATGAATGTGCCAGAGCGACAGAATATAAGGACAGCTCGCCATGTTGCTGTACGATTTGCTAATAACTGTCTGCCGTACAACAATATAACAGCGCGATGGTTAAGTATAGTAGCTCTTTCCGCTAGCTCCTCCGAGCGTCGCGATATCTTGGAAGAAGGACAACGAGGATTAGACCCTTGGTGGGCCACAAAGTTACACCCGGAAGAGGAGTTGAAGCTGCCTGACTGGGCGGAGCTAACAAAGTTTCTCTTCGATTCGACAACACGCCAAATTGAAGAGCATGAAATGGCCGTGGACCAGATTTCTAAATACACCTTATATACTAATGACCGCCTTCAAGCGTTTTCTGTAGCAATCCGCTTTGCGAAACAGATACTACTCCTCGCTGCACTTGCTGAGGATACTCTCGAGATAGACTGGGAAGCACGGCTGAATAACCGAATTCGTAACGATCTTGCGGCACAACACTCTATCAGAAAGTATATAAAGACAATAGAAGCTAAGCCGCTCTTACTCCTTCTGAATGCAGCGCTCGATGGACTTCGGGATCACCCTGAAGTAGGTGCAGAAGACTCTCTCGATTGTCTGGCGGATATTTTATCATTTGCCCCTACAGACACTATTATTTCGACACTCTCCGGAAGAGCACACGAATTGCTCGCACTACGTGGATCTAATAATCAAAGGGTTAGGCAGTTGGCATCTAAAACTTTCGGTATTCTTGCGCCTTGGGCTGATCGTACTTCTCTCGACGTTGCTCAATTACGAGAATTCTTGTCATCTACTGATGAACCGCCGGCCTCTCTGTCAGCCCAATACCAATGCTCACTCGTCTGTCTCGCTAGCTGTCTCTCCAAGGCAGCATATTATGGCAGATTAACATCTCCTGAAGCAGCGAGTCACATCGAATTTGTAGTCAGGTGCTCTCTTTTAGGTTTAAGGGGAAGCGACGCGGGTGTTCAAAATGCTGCACTTGATTCTCTCGCACAATTATGGACAGCAGACCTTGGTTGGCCTTCGCAAGAAAACGATTTGAACACTATCATCGACTGTCTCGCCTCTCTTGCGGTGAAAGGCAATGAAAGGTCTATTTATGCGCTTGGCAGACTGTCGATACCAAAGTCAAGTGACGTGCTCCTGAATGGGGAATCTCCCGCAAGGAAGGTTTTGGAGAAGTTATTCAGCCTATCGGATATCAAGCGAACGGAAGTCCACTTTGCCATTGGTGAAGCAATAGCCGCGGCAATAGCCCGTTGGGATTCTGACTCAGTGCAGCTTAGCATCGATGTCCAAGCGGCTGGACATGGCGAGGACATCATAAAGACCCTCCGTAAAAAGCCGGACCAAGTCAGTGACACTCTTAATAAGTTCATCACTGACAGCAAACAAACAAAGCCGTCTCTGATCAAGGCATCGGGTATATGGTTGTTCTGCGTCATTCAGTACTGTTCCGGCTTGCCCGACATTCAATCACGACTCCGAGAATGTCAAATAGCTTTCATGCGGTTATTGACGGCTCGTGACGAGCTTGTACAAGAAACTGCCTCTCGCGGTTTGGCTTTAGTGTATGAGAAGGGCGATCAGTCGCTAAAAGGCGATCTTGTCAAGGATCTCGTCGCCAGTTTTACTGGCACAAACACGCAACTTAAGGTTGATGACGACACAGAGCTTTTCGATGCAGGAGCACTACCCACAGGCGAAGGCAAATCAATCACCTCGTATAAGGACATTATCAACCTGGCCAATGAGGTAGGAGACCAAAGTCTTATCTATAAATTCATGGCCCTAGCAACAAACGCCGCTACGTGGACGGCTCGTTCGGCATTCGGGAGATTCGGGCTGAGTACAATTCTATCCGATGCCGAACTCGACCCTAAAATATATCCAAAGCTCTATCGATATAGATTTGACCCTAATCCCAATGTTCGGAGATCAATGGAGGATATTTGGAAGGCCGTTGTCAAAGATCAGACTTTGACCATTGACGTCCATTTTGACTCTATTATGACCGACCTACTCAAGAGCATTCTTGACGGCCGTGAGTGGCGTGTCAGAGAGGCTAGTTGTGCTGCCATTGCCGATCTCATATACGGACAACCCTATCTCAAGTATGAGAAATATTATACCGATATCTGGCAGGTTGCGTTGCGGGTTCTGGATGACCAGAAAGGCTCGGTAAGAGAATCAGCTCTCAAACTTTGCATTGGTCTTTCAAAGACTCTAGTGTCCCAACTGAAGGAGAACAACTCTTCCTCCTCGACCCAGGCCATGATTGCACAGGTTCTTCCGTTCTTGCTTTCTGATAAAGGAATCGAGAATTCTGTGAAAGAGGTTAAACTTGTGGCCATTACCACAGTACTAGACGTCGTCAAGAACGGAGGTGATACCTTAAAACCCTTCATCCCCACAATCACAACCCATTTCCTCGGGCTACTTAGTACAGTTGAACCAGATCAAATCAATTACTACTATCAAAGGGTCAGCGAGGAAGACCGTGAAGGACTTGACAGGCTGAGAAGCCAAGCGGCCACGCGGTCCCCATTATTCGAATGCATCGCCGACTGTCTCCGATTTACTGATGATGCTGTTATGTCCCAACTTGCTCCTCAGCTAGTAGCGACTATCAAGTCAGCACTTGGAATGCAAACCAAGATTGGCTGTAGTGAAGTACTTAGCACATTGGCTCTGCGTCATAGCATTTATCTCACCCCCTATAGCGCTCTGTTTGTGAAGAGCCTACACGCACAGATCCTAGACCGCAACAATGAAGTAAGCAAAGCATATGCAAAGAGTGCGGCGTATCTACTCAGGTCTGCTTCACCCGAAACTCGAGACCGGTATATAAATAGGCTGGTTGACTTATACTTTGCTGCTGAAGACGAAGTGCGGCGACAGAAAGTAGGAGATGCGGTTCTCGCCATTGCTAAAGTGTCGCCCGATGCCTTCACGGATCTTGAAACCCAGCTCTTGCCCTTCGCATACTTTGCCAAATTCGACACGGACGAGTATGTCTCAGAAGTCTGCGAAGCTGCCTGGAATCAGCATGCGGGAGGGCATCACACGGTGAGACGCTATGTCAACGAGATTTCAGTTCTTGTATCCAAAGGCTTGGAGACGTCAAAGTGGGCTTTACAGCATGCAGCTGCATTTACAGTTGCCTCTATGATTACTGCCTTAAGCAATGCTGCTGGGAAAGACGGGCAGTTTAGTGAATCGGTCGTCCGACAAATATGGCCAGTGCTTGATAAGACACTCTCACTGAAGACGTTCAAGGGCAAGGAAAAGCTAATAGCTGCGTATCCTGTCTTTATCAGACACAGTAAGAAATTCTGGGAAGGCGACACGGCAACATCAGCTCAAACCAAGAAGATTGCGCTTCGGGAAGCTAAACGTAACAACGACGAGTATAGGCCTCATGCTTTCGAAGCCCTGGCCGATTATGCAGCCGTAAGAGAGGATGTAGATATGTATGCAGAGGTGGTGACACTTGTATCTGACTATCTTACGCCGGATACCGAAGCACACAAGCTGACGGAGCTGGAGCGAAAAACCACCGAGGCGGCATTGAAGACTGTCATAACAGCTTATAACCGCCCAAGAATGCGATCAGCGCCAGCTAGTATACTCAGCGACGTAGCTACCACCATCGAGGGAGCAAAGCAATCCATCTCCATTGCCAAAGACACATTATTCACTTACGCTCTGGACCTTCTAGACCAAGCCGCTAAGTCAGCAGTTCCAACGAGCACCGACGAAAGCCTGCTGGCGAAGAGATGGTTCAACCTTCTACTCCACGATGAATCTAATGTTGCGCTAGAGAGTCAGAGGACCGCGAGAGCGAAGGCGCTACTTGCATTTGTAACAGCATGGGAGAAAGGCGTGTTTGGCCTTGCCAATGAGCAGGTCTCATTGAAAGATGACATGGGACAGAAATTGGCACAAATGAAGACGACTGAAAGATCACTGGATGTACAGAGGATACTCGATCAGGCATCCCAGAAATTCAAGGGATGATTGTTATAGAAGCTTGTGATGTACTTGATTAACTAGAGTAGATTTCACTTTCCGAATGGCCTGCGTTAATGTTGAAACTATAGCTTGCTGTAAAATACCGTCTTGAAGTGAAACAGCATTGTCTTCTATCTAGATGAATTTAGCTTCTCGAATTACCTATTTGCGCCGTTTGGGGAACGTCCACTTGGTGTTCACTTCCCTGTCGATTCATCAACCGGGTCGTATCGTCGTATCGGGTGTACAATGTTCGACCCTTTTATTACATAATATGCGTATGAAAAGTAATCGGCTACAGGCATGACGTGAGGTAGATGCCTTCCTTAGGCAGCTCAACAGAAGCAATCCCCTTCAAAGCCAACTCACTTGACATAGGTGTGTGTAATTAATTAATTTCCAATCATTTGCTGCATGTCCTACAGAATGAGCTCAAATGTGAGCTCACTGAATCATGCCGCGTATTCTTCCTTGGAAGCGTCGTGAACATCAAGTATTTGCCCCTCGGGACTCGCCGCGTTCAAGTTCAAGCCCGGTACCGCGTGTTAAACAGGAAGATGCTGCGCACGACCGAGATAGCGAGCACTCGCCATCACCTTCCAACATTGCTGTTACGACGAAAAAGACCCCGAAACGACCATGTAGGAAGCCTACTCTCTGAGCAAGTTGGTGCTTGTCTAACCTGTTTGCTAGATCGATCTACATCAACATCTCCACCACTAGAACCACCGCAGGAGACGTGCGCGCACTTCTGTCTAAACTTCCATGTTACTCTGACTAACAACTCTGATTAGCTTCATGATCGAAGGTACTGATGGTGATGATCGCTATCGAATGGTTGAGGACGAGTTCTTGGCTACGGCTCATCAATTTACAGCTCATTTACATGCCGCGGAGTACAAGCGCCTCAAGGCAAACTCCGAGCTTGAGAATGCCCAGACAATTAAGAATATCTCCCGGCCAGTAGTCGGCCAAATGACCGATATGGTGAAGATGAAGCAAGAAAGGAAAACTCTTGCTGAAAAACAGCGAATTGCGGCTCGCAAGCTTCGCAAAGGGGAAGGAAGCGGCGACGAAAGCACAGAAGACGATGATAAAAATGATTCATGGCAGAAACAGTCTCTATACGGATTAATGGAGAGCCCGGGGAAACGGGCCAAGGGCTTGAATGGATTACCATCAGCGACTTTGGTGACTCGCGCGGCGGCTGGATTTAACAAGCAGTCTACTGTCGTTTCCCCGACTCAGCCAAAGTCGAAGCCTATGGACATTTCTAGCCCTACTCGCCATCATAAGAATAGCAGCGATAATGGCTTGGAGAGCTCAAGTAGCTATCGCATTGCACATCGATCTCCACGCCCAGTACCCACGACGTCCAGAATGGTCGCGCCGCGGAGACCAGAGGCCAAGAAGTTTCAGGCCGGTAGCTCTTATAAAACCACTGAAGATACTCGAAGCGGGAAAACAAAAGCAGCAGAGACTACAGTCATCTCAGAAGACGAAGACCTGGACATAATGACTCGCCTTAAAAAGCGACAAGAAGAACGCAAACGAAACCGTCAGCAGCGAAGATCAACACACAACGAGGTTAAGTCCAATTTGGACGATATTATACCCGGCTTTCTATGAATTAGTTTACAAATGGAGTCTCGTACGGACGCTCGGCCTGAGGTGTGATACGCGCCAGATGTCGGCGCTGTCCATTGTTCCAGTCCAGCAGCGCCGAGTGCTGAGTGACACGGTTGTCCCACACGACTACGGTTCCCTCCTCCCACTTCACTCTCGTGTGGAAATCGGCACCAGTCGCAATGTGGTTGTACAAGAATTTGAGGATCGCCTCGCTCTCTTCCCTCTTTAGACCAACGATGTAGCGAGTAACTGTGGGGCGTAAGTCAGTCTCTACTCATCAATATTTCCTTTTTTTTTTTTTTTTTTTTGAGTTAAGTATAGTGACTTACATTGCGGGTTTACATATAGCGCCTTCTCTCCTGTAACGGGATGCGTACGGACGATCGGGTGGACGTTGGTAACTGGCTCTCGCCTGTTGATGCTTCCCCGGGCGTGCGCTACTGCGACTTGCTCAATACCTGAGTGGACTGCCTTCAAGCCGTGCAGTCTTTCCTGGAACAGTGGGCTCAAACGTTTGTATGCTTCTACACCGTTGGCGAAAAGCGTATCGCCTCCGGTCTTCGGGGTGTCCAAGATATACAAAAAGGTGGTTCCGGGAGGCTGCTGCTCATATGACACATCAGAGTGCCACGCCACGGAGCTCACGCGGTCTGCGAAGAACTGGTCTGAGAAGGTGTCACCAGCGCCGCGGTGCACAAGATGAATCTCTGGGTGTCCCTCAGGTGCGCCGGACTGCGTCACGTTAGCGCCTGCGAGTGTGCGGAGATGGGTTATTTAGAAAACTTCTTACAGTGGGATGGATGTGGTGGCGGCCGAAGTAACCGCCGAACTTCAACGCGTCGGGGATGGAGAGGTCCTTGAAGTCTTGCTTCCGGAAGGCGACGACCTTTCTCTCGGCGACGAAGCGCGCAAGCTGGTCCTTGCCAGCGTCGCTGAGAGAGCTCAGCTGGATGCCGCGGACCTCCGTTCCGATGCCCGGTGTGAGATGGGTCACCTGGGCGCCCTCTGGGAGGAGATCAGGAAACGAGGGGTCCGCGTCCTTGCCGTGTTCGTAGTGCTCGAAGGGCTCAAGGGGCGGGTACTTCACGGACTTGTCCCACGTGGGTAAATAGTGAGGGTATTGGGCGGCCTCGTATCCTTCTTTCTTTCCCTTCTCGGTATCATCTTCGTAGTGGTACGTCTGGAATTCCTTGTACTGGCTCTCCAGGCGGACCTCCTGGGGTTTGCTCACCGTCTCAGTGACGGTCGTCGTAGCAGAAGGCGCCATAATTTTGTATAATGAAGTTTGATTATTTTCCACTTGATCAGTGTCCGAGTACAAAAGATGTTCATTCCATGGGTGGGACGAGCCGCATCACTTTATACAACTGCTCTGATGCTTGCGCCATGTCGAGATACTGATGTGCGAGCAACCCACGATGGCGCAAAACGCTCGCTATCCAATCGAAGAATGTATGCGCCGAGATCCCCGAATCAACCCCAATTCCCCCTCCTCCGCTATCTTGTCTGGGTTTCATAGGGCGAGCACCATTTGGATGGTCATGACACCATTCCACACAGCCCCGCGTTCGCCAGAACGAGCGTTAATGGGTGGTTAATGTTGCTAATGTGGAGTTTGATCACGCAATTTGAGCATCGCGTTGAAACGCCCAATCGAGCCCTAACGGCATTGGGCTCCTTTGTGACAAAGTGAAGCGCTGCCTTCTTGCATCTCGAGACATAACTCTATGATGCCTCTTTGTTCATGAAGTATGGCCAGCTACATAACCATACGAGAGAGCAAGGTTCGCGTCTTAATCTGAAATACAGCGTCATACAGATATGAGTTTCGAGCGAATTCGTATGACGATAGATTGTATCTTGACCACCGTCGAAGATTAGAATCCCTCGTTTATTTGGCACAGAATCTCGGATTCCGATCGATAGTCTAAACCCGTTTGCCCCCTTTCCCCTCACTTTTACCAAAAACATCAACCTGCGTCCGTCGGGAGATATCTACCGAGGCTACGGGCTCTTATTATGAGGACACTGACCTTATCTCCGTACTTCTGGCGCGTTCGCGTCATGTGCATACTTATTGTGCCTTGCTTATGATATTATCGACGGGCGGATGGAGAGATAGGCGATGCAGCTTCCCCATCCGATCCCGCGCCGTTATGTCCCACTGCAAGCGTCGTGCGTGATGACCAACCACGGCTACCATTCTTCGTGAAGCTGCTGTTTGTTGGATGGTTGGTTGGTTGCTGTGCTTCCTGTAATAGCGGGCCTAGTGATATAGCTAATGTGTTGTAACCGTGGTGGTTATCTACTTGCATGATAACGTGATCTATGATTTCTAGTATTGGTTTGCTTGCTATTTATACTTCGCGTCTTGTCTGCTAACACCGAGATCAATGATGTCTCCTGGAATGGAGTCATCAGCGTTGGATCCTTGATTCTATCAGTAACCCAAGGGAGTAAGTAGTCAAGTTAAGGGCGCCACTCTTTAAAAGTTAAGAGTTTTAGTAGAGAAGCACTTCGTGAGAGCGAATGGTGAGTGAATCGCCGTCGTTGCTCTGAATAAGTAAGAGTAGGTATCCTGGCATGAACTATATCTTACTACAGACTTCTTACGGCGATCCAATGGAAACTTCCAAGTTCAACAAGGTCGGCTTGGATTTCTGTACATTAAAAAGAGTTGTCGCAAGGTGCTGGGTTCTCTTGAGTTACACACTACAAGTGCGTCTTGCCAGCTACTGCTAGCTAGTCCAATCTTTTTAGTCTCGGGTATTTGCTAAGGGAACAATGAATATATTGTCGCTCTCAGTTTTCCTGCATTTCTTTCTCTGGCTAAAGCATATCGTTGTTACGTATTCTATTCTTCATATTCGAGGTTTGAAGGAAGCACCATGCGGTAGGATAATGATGGCGGCGTCAATATCTAAGCAGCATCACTTCAAATGCCACTTTTCGGTTAAGCATCTTCAGAGATTGCATATATGCAGTCTTAGGCAAATGTATGCAATACCGAGGTCAAAGTGCCCACATCACATGTCAGTTTACCAATCAGATATTGGATGGAATTTGCAGTGGCGTCAGATGTCCATTTAGAAGTTCTAGTCACTGATAGATAAGCTTATCAATCACAACGAGGGGCAACATTTTTTGAACAACCCCCACCATTACCTTAGCGATTAGATAACATCGCCATTGCTCATAACGAACAACTTCAGCTCCAAAGCATCCGGCTTCTGATATTCTTGAGCTTCGGTTCGACTCGATATACCAACGGCCTCGGAATTCTGGTCGCCATGTCGATGGATCTTGATGCGCCGATGCCCATGGCGGCTCCGGCGCAGGCAGCGCCTGTCACCGCAACGTATGTCCCGAATCTTCATCTGTATATGGCCAGTTACGCTTCATGCGTTGCGTCAGAGGGAATGGAAGCGGCTAGCCTGGGAGATTTGTGGTACGGAAAGCTAACTGCCATATCAGCATTCTCTGTGCGGACTGCGGCGCACCTATCGATGGAATGACAGCGATTGATGCCAAGTGCTATGACTGCTTCAAGCTCACAAAAGATATCTCCCAAGGGATCCAGAGGGAGGCAACGCTACATTTTTGCAGAGATTGTGATAGATGGCTTCAACGGTATGTGCTTGTTGCGCATGCGCTTCAGCTTCCCAACCCCCTCCCCTCCCATATAGACGATTCCTGCTAACCGTTCCACAGTAAGTAGACAACGTCAGCTCATCCACCTACGATTACCGAGCTCCACGACAAGAAGGAAAAATCTCGAAGTTTAAAGCTAATAGGACCTCTTCCGACATCACAGCACCTTCGAGCTGGGTTTCCGCAGCCCCGGAGAGCCGAGAGCTCCTTGCCCTATGCCTGAAGAAACTGAGCCTCAACCGGACGAGAATAATAGACGCTTCTTTCATCTGGACCGAACCCCACAGTCGGCGAGTTAGAGTCAAGTTGGTAGTACAGGCGGCCGTCGCGGAAGACAGGATTATGCAGCAGGGTCTCGAAGTTACATATGGTCAGTAATGTGCTGCTGTGCTTCCCAACTTCTTTTTTGTTTACAGCTCACGGACTTCAATCTTCCCCATTTACCTCTACGAACGGATAGGAGCGCTTACTAATACAATTCATAGTCGTTGCCTACCAACAATGTCCTGAATGTGCCAAGTCATACACCGCGAACGTTTGGAGGGCAAACGTACAAGTACGGCAAGTAAGTACTGCTGACGGCCTTATTCTGTTGTTTTCTAAGTAGCAAAAAACTAACCTAGTCAATAGAAAGTGCTTCATGTGAGCTAGACCCTTAGTTTCCAACTCAGATCTCGTCTAATTTGAAGACGGGGGTTTGATATACTCAGTCAAAACTAATACGATTGATAGAAACGTACATTTTTATACCTCGAGCAGTTGATCTTAAAGCATGGAGCACACCGCGATACTATCAATATTAAAGAGGCGAAGGATGGCATCGATTTCTTCTACAGCGCGAGGAATCAAGCGGAGAAGGTACTCATTACATCTCACTTCAGTTTCGATGCTTAAACTAACTGATCTCTAGTTCGTTGACTTCCTCAACTCAGTTGTGCCCATACGGGTTAAGAAATCGTCAGAACTCATTTCTCAAGACAGCCATACAGCAAAAAAGAGTTTCAAATTCACCTTCTCAGTCGAGTTGATCCCGATATGCAAGGATGATTTAGTCGCTCTCCCAATAGCACTTGCCAAGCAAGCCGGAAACATCTCTCCTCTCTCGATATGCTACAAGATCGGCACTTCAGTCTATTTATTAGATCCCTCAACACTCCAAACGGCAGACATCAGCTCCCCGGTGTACTGGCGAGCTCCCTTCGGGGCACTAGCAGAAGCGAAGGACCTAGTTGAATTTGTTGTGATGGATTGCGAATTGGTTGGGTATGTAAATCGAATACTTGTCCGCCTACGATTACGCTTGAATATTCATTTAAACGAACTCGATGTTCTGAATTGTTGTTGTACTGCTTGAAACTGATTGCTGACGAATTTTTAGTCCTACGAAGGGAAGATGGGTTCTAGCCGATGTAGAATTGGCAAGAGCTACGGATCTAGGCACAAACACCCAGACCTACTGGGCAAAGACACATTTGGGCGGCCTGCTTCATGCAGGTGATTCCGTCATGGGCTATATGCTGACGGGCACTGTGTTCAATAACCCCGAATTTGAGGCCATCGAACAGTCTCACACATATTCTTCTAGAATACCAGATGTTGTTATCGTCAAGAAACACTATCCCAACAAGAGGAGGAACAGGAAGCGAAACTGGAAGGTCAAGCGTATGGCCAAGGATGAAGGTGAATTGCTACCAAAGAAGGCAGACCAGGAACGCATGGATCGCGAGTTCGAGCAATTCTTGCAGGACATTGAAGGGGACGAAGAGTTCCGAGCTGGCGTACAGCTTTACAAACAGCCGAAGAGGCAGCCGCAGCCAGACGAGATGTCGATGGCGACGACAGATGACGAGGGTGATGATGGACCACAGGTCAATATGGAAGAACTTTTGGATGACTTTGACGAGCTTACGATGGAAGATGAACATTAGAGTTGCTGGGCATATAGTCAATCACAATGATCTATTGCATTTTCATGACTATTTCTTTGTCTCTTCGTTCAACAGTGCGATAAGAGACATCATTTTCTAGTTGCTGGACGAACTATTGAATTTCTAGACTCAACTTGCTGTGAGATCGTGAAAGGTCATATATGAGTAGAATGAGATGAGCCGAGGAAGCACCGGTGGTATTAGAAGGCAACATGTAATAGCTATAAATGGCATCACTTATTCAAATTACTCGTCGCCATGCCGAATTCCATAATTGCAAAATGTCTAATCTCGAAAGGGGGTATCATTATTAATAGTATATATATCAAAATAGCTGGCTGAGGACTCTCTTCGCAGCCTCCGTAGGCTGTGCTGCCCCTTTCTTGCCCGCGGAAGACTGTTTGAATTTGCGCAGGCTCTTCGCCTCACCGGCTTCTGGAACGGGTGCGGCGGCCACCTCGGTCTTCTCCGCGTCTCTGGATTTCTTGGCCGCTGCTTTGGACTGTATGCCTTCGAGCTCCTTCGCCTTCTGGATGTTGCGTACGAATTCCTTGTTTTCCTTGGTTGCTTTGCTGATCTCGGCGCGCATTCGAGACTGGCGCTCTGCTGTCTCGGATGCTATCTGCTCGGTAAGGTTGTCTGGAGAAGAAATTCGTTAGTCAATCCTACTGCCGTTGTGTACAATTCCGATTGTAGGTTGAGATAGAGTAAGAGTGGATACTTACGCCACTTGAAGCCTTTGAGGTATCGTAAACTGTTCTCATGTTAGAGAATTGCCGTGAAGGAAAACACGCAGTCTGATTCCTTACCTCCAGATGTCGTCACGGTAATAACTCCCTTTCTTCGCCATGCCTACCGCCGCCAGCGTTGTTCCATTGAGCGTATCGACTGCCGCTTTCGCATCGGACTTCTTCATATACTCCAGCCAGCCCTCGTTGAAATTCTTCTTCCGGTTCTGCCCCTGCTGAAGCCTTCGCGCCCTGACTTGCGCGTCTTCGGGGGCTAGATATACTCTGTTGATCTTTCCAAATTTCTCGAATATCGATCGTACGGTTCCGGGTTTCACTGGAGAAGTCTCGATTAATGAATGGCCAAGTGTAAGACATGAATATTTCGAGATCAAGGATTGAGCGATCCGCAGATCCGTGGAATTAAAACACGGTTCTGACGTACTGAATGGCGGTACTCGGGATATGTATATTACGCCGCTTCTCTTCACTGCCTTTTCGGTAGCCACGAGGTTCTTTTTCGTCAATGGCCCCGAGATGTCTGGTAAATCCGAAGCGCGTTTCGATTTTGATTTGTCTTTGCCAGGAGACTTTTCGCTATTACGTGGCGTCTCGTCTTGCTGATCCTCGCCATTGCTAAAAAATTCTTCTTCATCCTCCCCCAGCTCATCTCCAAAGATCTCATCGTCGCTTAAGGGTTCTTCTTCGTCAGTGCCATCGTCTTGGTTAAGTTTGCGACGCTTAGATGCGCCCTTGCGCGGTTGTTCGGCCTCTGAATCGTAGCCTTGGCTGCCGTCGTCGTCGCTCTCATCGAGGTCAAGAAAATGGTTTCGCTTCTCGGCTGGCATGGTAGCGACAAGAATTACCTCGCAGGAAGGGTATAAAAAGGTATTTAAAGTAAGTGTTGCATCAAACTCCTAATGCTGATGAGAGGCACGGAAACATCCATGTCCATGGAAACCAAAATAATTGAAGCTTTGATAACAGCTGATAAGCATAGCGAGGAATATTCACTTATTGGGGCTTTGGCGGGGTCGTGGTTCGCCCCCTGCTGCACTCAAGTTGCCCCTCCTCCAACTTCTTGGTCAAGATCGGTAGCAGGTGTTCCATGAATGACGTCCGTATCTCTTACCTAATACATTATTGTATATTACAAGGCTTGTATCCTCAAAGCTGAGCAGAGGAATAAGAGAAACCAGTCTCAATTCACCTAATCATTTAACTACCCTCCTGTAAATCAAGATGTCTGTTGAAACTATTACCACGATTTCGCCTACAACCAACGAGCCGATCCTAACTCGTACTGGGGTGAGCGCAACTGATCTTGAAGAGATCCCCAACGTCGCAGCAGAGGCTTTCAAGACATGGCGGGAGACTTCGTTGACAGATCGCACAATCATCATCAAGAAGGCGTTGGGGCTTTTAGAGAAGCAAAAGGACCAGCTAGCCGAAGAAATCACTGTGCAGATGGGACGCCCTATCTCATATACCGGAGTTGAAAGTAAGAATCTAATAACTGGGTATGAGAATAGTCTATCTAACGATCGACTGTCTAGTCGCGACGGCCATCAAACGTGCCAACTACTTATTAAAGATCAGCGAAGATACATTGAAGGACACGGAAGGCGAGGCGGAGAAGGGATTCAAGCGGTTTATTCGCAAGGTCCCTGTTGGACCTGTCCTAGTCATATTCGCATGGAATGTGAGAGATTCCTGGTTCTGAATTAGGATGCAATGATCGATAACTAACATTATCAGTATCCTTATTTAATCTTGGTCAACTCGCTCATCCCGGCTCTTCTTGCCGGAAACACGGTCATTCTCAAACCTTCGCCTCAGACGCCTACAATTGCTGAGCATGTCACTAAGATATTCAATGAAGCTGGGTTGCCGGCCGGTGTTCTTCAATACTTCCACTGTGGCTCGCCGTCGATTATGGAGTCAATGGTTCGAAATCCCAAGGTCTCGCTTATCTGCTTCACAGGCTCTGTTGCCGGCGGCTTGGCGGTTCAGAGGGCTGCGTCTGACAGAATTGTCAATGTTGGACTAGAGCTTGGAGGCAAAGACCCAGCATATGTGAGGGGAGACGTCGATCTCGATTGGGCGGCTGCTGAGATTGTTGACGGTTCTATCTTCAACTCTGGTCAAAGTTGCTGCGCGCTCGAGAGAATTTATGTCGATGAGAAGATTTACGAGCCCTTCATTGAGGCTACGCAAAAGGTCTTGAAGGGTTACAAGGTCGGCGATCCGTTGGAAAAAGAAACCCAAATAGGACCTGTCGTTTCCAAGCGATCTAAGGAAACCATTGAGGCGCATATTAAAGATGCCCTGGAGAAAGGCGCCAAGGATGCGACACCTGAGAACCCGACGTTTACCAACCTCCCTGCCAAAGGCAACTTTGTCAAACCCACCCTACTGATCGACGTCAACCATTCCATGACCGTCATGACAGAGGAAACATTTGGGCCTGTGATTTCTGTCATGAAGGTTAAGAGTGATGACGAAGCAATCCAATTCATGAATGACAGTGAGTTTGGGCTGACTGCTAGCATTTGGACGAAGGACACAGAGAAGGGATATGAGTTGGCTCAGCGGGTCGAGGCGGGTACTGTTTTTGTCAACCGGGCGGACTTCCCGAGCCCCGATCTGGCGTGGACCGGGTGGAAAAATTCAGGCAAGGGCGTGACGCTGAGCAAATATGGTTTCGATCAATTTGTTAAGCTTAAAAGCTTCCATCTTAAGGACTACCCCAATTAGAAGAGCAATGGATGAGTGGAATGTCGCGTCGGCTTCTAGAGTAGTCAGGGTCCGCGCTGGGACATGGTTGATGTTTAGCAGGGATGGCGGTAATCAAGATCTGGCATGTGGATCACACATCTTCCGTCGTTTAGGGGATCCCGAGGGAATGGCACATCTAAGTATAGTGCCTTAATTCGGCAAATGTAGCTTAACCTTACGACCATGTCTCATCATCACCAACGTGTGCGGCTTATTGGGGTGAGCGTGGCAAGGATATTGTCTTAAGCTGGCACATCTCGATAGCTCGACACCATTCCAACTACCAATTAGGACGATGTCATCTTCTGTCTAGACCACGCAACCCTTGTATCCCCCCCTCCCGTAACCTAAACTGGCTGCATTCCGCGGTACGTTCCCGCGTCTTCGACATTGCTCCCTCAATGCCATGCTACCTGATAGTTTTTCTACTCTAAAATTATATACTTTGTAGGTAGGTACTTAAGCTAGTTACCGTTTTCGTCGGCCTCTTTCAGACCTATATGATGTCACGGCCAACCCCAGCACTTACTTCGTCTTTGTAGTCTTGATTTTATCCTCGATTCGACTTCTGCTCAAGAGCTCAGGCTCTATCTAGACTTTCGTCCGTTTCTTTCTCTCCTACGCTTCGTCAACGTACAATTACGGCACAGCGCACTGCCGACCGTCATTCCTTTGTATCGTCGCTTTTGTCTCCTTCAACTCGGCAATCGACAGAGCGGACTTAGAACCCACTTCAACCGAGCTGTAACCGATTGGCGAGGACGAGATATTGTCTAACCGACAATCCCTTTTGACGTTGACTTCGCACCCAGGAATTCATTGGCCTCTAGACCCTCCTTCCAGTAAACACGGCTCGTAGGGCTCATACCCCAGAACGGCCGGCTGCTGCGGTTGTGTAGCCATCCCTCGACCTCTTAGAAGACAGACACTCCTTTCACCACGGTGATAGTGCATAATGTTTGATTGTTGATCAATCGTTTATTCAATCCTCCGGCATCTAAAAACGTCATTCCACCTCCCTACGCACTTACGTGTTTACCTGCCTTTTTCTTTCTTTCTATTTGGAGGAGCAAACCGCAGCGTGCATTTTTCCACTTCTGCAAACCACCGCAAACTGCCGCCCGTAGAAAGGCAGCATAGCCAGTTTCACGACGCTTATTCCCATTCTTATTACCGCTCTTATTACCACGTTTGCCACCCTCGTTTTCCCCATACACTTACGACCACCTACGCAGTAGGACACCTCACTTCAAACACGTTGGCAGTAAGCACATATCGACATCGGTCGACGCATTGCCTACCTACCTACTTCCACTCAGCTGAGGACCGGTAAGCCCTATAAGGCCCTGACACACGTGGATACAAAACTCGGGCCCAAGCCTGTTGTCTCGATCAGCTGTGTGTTGCAGCTGTTGCAGCTTTCAGCCCCAAACAGATGTGCTGAATCATGCGCATTAGCACAAATAACCTCTGTTGCTGTCCAGGCAATTGATTCTTTCATTCATGACCTGCCGTCCTGCCTTCCTGCCTACCTGACCTTTTACTTAATCTACCTGCCTACGACCTTCCACCCCAGGTCGGGTCTGCTCTGCTCTGCTCTGCTCTGCCAACGCGAGTACACCGGTACCGTAAATATATGTACTTGCCTACTTACTTACTTACCTGCACCCACCCGTCCAGCTCTGTACCTTCTCGCTCAGCGTCCGTTGCGAGCCAACAATCTCTGTTGGCAATCCTTCACTCAGCCGTTGCCAACAAGACATTGCCTGTTGTCCTTCATCCGAAGCAGTCAAATCACATTAACATCTTATTCTTCGATCTTGACGAAATTTCGTTTACCGGCCTGCATTCGACAACCAATCTGTGCACTCACTACATCGGGTGCAGCCAACCTGTTGCCACCCGCCGGCCGACTCACCTCTCTCACCATCGCCACCACAATGGCCTGTATACTATTCAGCACTTTCACCACGAGATTGCAGCGACTCGTAGGCATGAAGTCTAAAGCTGCTGCCGCTGCCGCAGCAAAGGAGAAGCGCAACTCTCACCCTTTGCAAATCGTAAGTTTTTTTTTTTTTTTTTTGCCGTATTTTGTTGCCTTGTCCTTGTCCCTGCTAGATGTTTATCCACCTCCACCTCCACTGTCCACCGGCCGACCTCAGCAGCGCCAAGGTCAGCCTGCATACATGCTCTATATTTACCTCTAACACCCGAACTCAGAATGTGGAATGAATGCTGACATATAATGGCCTTTCTTACCTATAGTCCGCACCGTTCAACTTCAAACATGAGACCATCAGTCTTCCCGGACTTTCCGAGGATGAGTAAGTCTCTCTCAATTGCAATCACATCATTGCCGCCCGTCGCCAGGCACACACGTCCGGCAGTTGGATGCACCCTCATTTTCGTCCGAAGCAAAACCAAAAGCCCTTGTGTCTCGCCGCGCCACCTCAACGCCGCCTGCCCCCAGCTTGTCTCGCTTGCTCGGGGCTTTGTCAATGCCTCAGCCCCCATTGCTTCCCCCGGAGTACCCACCAACTCGACCTTCCTCTTTTTCTTATTCCTAACACAGCAGGCCATCGATGAAATTGTCTGTTTCAAACGCGTACTGACTTTCCTCTTCCTTATGTAGCATTGCCATCTTGAAGGAGAAGGCGGCTGCTTCCCGTCTCGGTGTCGCCGGGGCCAACAAGGACCGCTCTTCCCCTTTCGGTAGCCCCCGCAAGGCACCCCGGGCTCCACCGTCCCCGATGCGAGCCGTCGCGCCCGTCACTGTGAGTTACCCATTATTATTCATCCCTGCACCGATTGACGCGACGCGAATCTCTTGTGTTGCATTGACATTCCTCTGCCCCCTGCCCTAATCTCGTTTATCTGGGTCGTGCTACTATATCGGGTGGCCCCATGTTGTACATACCAAGGACGATTTGCCCCTTGAAGATCTGCCAGATACTAATTCTCCGAGTCGTACAGGTCCGCTCTGACACACCCCTTTCTATGGAGGACAATCTTATCTAAGGTTCGGCTAGCGCTGGCGTACGCCTTGCCAAACGAAACAAAACACCGTTCTGATGAACATCGTCATGAATATGTCGGCATTCATTTCTCAACAGCATCGTCATGTCTAACAGCAAGCTGGGAGATAGTTATCATGACGGGGATTGCAGTATTATTCTGAGCAATGTCCATGCTGTATTCGCCTTGTGGACCAATGCCCTTTCTAGTGTGTACTTTACGCTTTTCTCTTCTGCTTCTGTCATCGTTTTAAGTCCTTGATTGGACATATCTCTTCGGCGTCGGACATTCTTCGGTATAATACCCCTAGGGACAGAACCTCTATTGGGAGACCCCCTAATTGCGATTGATTCGAATCTTGAGGCTGTCTTGTTTTTTTTCCCCCTCATAAGTCTCTTGTTGTTCTGGTTGGCACGGCGGAGTTTCAGGAACTAGGGTAGAATGGGTAGATGAACGATCATAGCAGTCATGCATATTCACATACAAATTCATTTCAACTCCTCATTGTGATATTATTAACAAGTATTTCCCCATATTGGGTGAGGACAAGATCGGGACTTGAGGTTCATGGTAGCCTTTTTGTTTACCTTTATTGGATCCTGATGCATTTATTTTGTGCACATACCGCTCAATGTGTATTGACCTTGGTCTTGATGTTTACGTATTAATCTACCCTTTATACGAATTCACTTTGTACACCCCGACTTGATACCTTACTGACATGAATACATGTTCACTTATGGTCTCACGTTCTCTTTCCGGCACCTAAACTCACCATTATCTGCTAGGTGCTCTCCGTGTCTAGCCGAAATTGCTCTTCGTCCCAGACTCTGGGACCCAGAGTGTATCAAAATCTAGAGCAAGGCAACGGGATGTGCTCAGTGCATTCACCGCACTTCCCCTTTTTCTTCACTATCGACCCAAGTCTGTGGCAGCGCAAATAAATCCCATTCACCTGACCCCTATTTCCAATGCCATTGTCCACCACATCGGTACGCACCAAGCATTCAGACGCGTAGACAGAAGGCAACTATGTACTAATTACCAGAATTTTGCGTGGATTGGGTGCCCCGGACTGTCGAGTGTACTTCATTGGCGCTTGGGCCGACTCACAATCAATGTTTACCTCGAACCCCCTATCGCTCCTTCCCTATTACCAAACTACATTCATTACGTCAATGGGGCAATGGCGTTAGTTAGGATGAAGAGCAAACAACTGCACACATTGTAGCGGCGCCAGGGTCACCAGCGTTCTTCTGTATTTAACCATGTCCTCTCACAACATATCCTTCGTTCTCCTTCCTTTCTTTTCTTCTATATCCTGAAGTTCACAGCTCCTTCACTCATATTCACTTTCTCCTACATTCATCACGTTCATACCTGATATACCATCAAACAACTCCAACAAAAACTTCAATACATCCTTCGTATATACTGCACTCCTCTCTAACAACACCTTCGCCAATATGTAAGTTTGTTTGAATATGGCAACCGCTTGGTGAATCTTACAATCAGTTCCTGACTTGAAAGACAGTATAACTGCAACCTTTGTCTGTCCATCTCATCATAATATTTCTGCCCGTCATGCCTGTAACAACCAGATCGTCTGCTCAGCGCCAATCTGTTCGCTTCGGTACCCCTCGTCATGAGGCCGAGCGAGCAATGGCTGTTGTAAGGGACGCGAACACCGCTATTAGGATTATCGTTGTTTCGCGGGCAACCTCTCAGGCTCAGAGCGTCGAAAGCATGGAAAGCGCCGATTCTAGTAGCGCCGATGCTGATGATTCCAACGCTGGTGACTCTGACGAGGAGATGAGCGAGATGAGTGATGACGAGGAGGATGACGAGGATGAGGACGATGAGCAGGGGGCCTCTTACGCCCTCAGCTACAACGTCCCCAGATACAACTATACGTCCTCAATGGACGCTAATCACGACTCCATTGAGGACTGGGAGGAGGAGCTCCATGTTGTAACTCCGCCTGGCATTGACGCTGACCAGGCACAACCTTCATCACAGCTGACGACCTCAACGTCGGCTACTCTTGTGCCTGAGCCAAGCCCAACTCCCACTCCCACCCCCACCCCTACTCCTACTCCTGCTCCGGCACACCAACCAACACCTACACCCACGCCCGCCCCTTCTACACCAGCGCGTTCACCAACGCCTGTACCAACCCAATTCCCGTGCCGTCGCTGCAACAAGGTGTTTGCGAAGAATAGTGTACTGAAGCTACACATCATGGACCGCCACTGCGGCACGCGGTGCTATCTCCCAGGGTGCGGAGTCACCACCAACAACGAGGAGGATCTGATCGATCACATTGGGTGGCATCAGAGGGAGGCTGTCCAGGAATGGGGCTTGGATAGTACCATCTGCCCTTGGCCTGGCTGCGGCAAGACCTTCAGCCGCCACGATACCGTTCTGCGTTGCTTGAAGCGACATACGCATAACGCGCGGCGTGGTATTTAGGAAGAAGGGGCGATTGGTTGATAGGTTTTCGGTAGGGAAGGTGTTTGGGGTTATGGGTGTAGTATAATGAGTCTGATGATTGTCACGGAGTATATGGAGTATTGTATATTATACTGTTGCGCTACCAAAAGGTTGAAACTCTGCGTCTCTATACGCCACTATATAGTACTGTAACACTGATGGAGTATGACCATGATTATGTTATGATTATTCCTGTTCTTGAGTCCTTATTTGACTGGTTATCGGTGAATTATGTGGTGATAAGGCATTGATTATCTTGTCCCATGCTGTGATTTCTAGACCACCTGTTTCATCCTTTTCTGTGTTGTCTGTTGTCACAATCGCTTTGTTCAGAGTATGCTTGTCCGCTATTACGACAGGTTCGAACCTACCTTCCTCAGCTATATACGGTACATCGACGGTTCCATTCACGTCCTTGTCCGCGTCCCCGGTTACTTATCCATTCGATTGGGCGATGTCCGTGGCCTCCTGTTGGCCGTACAGCTTCCCATGCAGTTTCTTTGGCTACAAGTGACCTTAGACGCCTTCTTTACTATGTGTGTTGCAAGACCTGCGTTGGTGGTTATAAGGTTGTCTGGGGATTGGAGGAGCAGTAAGATGGTGGCGAGGGGGAAGGGTGCTGTGATGGGGAACTAGAGATAGCCATTGTATATCTCACTGAAGGCCAACGGACTAGATGAAGCAGCTGGATATCCAGATTGGATGCAGGAGATATTATATTTGAGACGATAGCTCATGAGCTACCAAGTAGTTGGGATCCCAACTTGGGCCGGTTGGCAGCAATTGAGGAAGATAGTTCTTTGAGATATGGATATGAAGAGCAAATCGGTGAAAATAACCGATAGCTTTAAATATTGTAACAACAAAAGTAAGGAGAGATAAAAGTACTCTAAAAATGGTATAGATAGCTATGCTAATATCCGTTGTTGTGGTCATTGTCGAAAATTATCGTGAATTATCGAAGATCTAGGATGTGAAGAACAGAGGGAAAATGCCAACCCGACGTAGATAACCAACACTACCTACCTAATATATACCTACCAGTGGCTCATTAAGCCCATTTTGCTAAGGGAAGGTATGATGATGAAAAGATAAATACTTCAAAGGGAGGAAAATGACAAGTAAGCTGGGGGGGATTAATGCACTCGAAAAAGTGGCAGATGCCTCCCTTCTCTGTTACACGCACAACCTCTGTGCCAGCTAAATATGCAGTTCGCCTTGCACTTCGGTCGTACGGAGGACCATTGCAGGCCGTTCATGATCTTTCAAAACATGCAAGCAATATTGGGCAATATTGGAAAGTGAGGTTATACAGACTTCGCGTCTTGAAACAGATCCCAGAGACCTAGGCGGTCTGGGCTGGCAGGCCAGTTGTATATAGAGTCGAGCCAAGCCACCAACAGCCAAGAAGGAGTTGGTTGGTCAAGGACTCATGCGGCTCATGCGGCCCTAGTTGATCATTATAATCTGAATTCTAAGTTCCAAGCCCATTATCTCTGCCCTTGTTATATTCTCATCAATCGGCCGATATACTACCCCCTATGCCCCTTATGTTGAATTCCCGCTCATTTGATAAGTACATCTGAATACGATATAAGTATGCTTTCCTGCCTAAGCATGCTTCCCATTCATTAACGTCATTTTTTGACATCTATTTTATCTATACAGGCTACTGAGAGACTCGACGCCACCGTCTTTCCTGGACTTGCGACTGTCCACTCAGCTGCCTTGGATATGGTGTCCTGCGCCTTGTTTACGGCCATGGGCGGTTGCTAAGGAGAAGTGATGTCAATGATGAGAGCGATGTTTCAGATGGATCAGTATCTTTGGGCTCAACCCTAGTCCAGCGCACCTCACGGGATTGGAGCACTTTATGTAAGTGCTAAAGTAGCATGAAGGCCAACTGCATCACCAACAACAGAATCATTATCAACAGCAGCTTCGCCAAGCAGTCGAGACCTGCTTTACATGAGGAGATGTGTCAGGTTATGAGGTCCGTACCTCTTTTACAGTTGGTTGAATGCATACCGAGCAAAGAACCAGTAGTGGTACCATGGATTACGACCTGCAAGACAATGTCTTACTTGTGTGTGATGAAATGCACTATCGCAATATTTCAGCAGTGTGAGGGCAGGCAGAAGCGAGAATGCGAGGGTGATGGGTTTCCTCGTCCTGAGTGCCTTGACTAGCGAGAGCGGTCATCGATTTGAAATTTAAATTCTTACAGACTCAATCATCTCTGCCGCTTGACTGACATAGGCGTCCACGAATCGCAATATTCCATACCTTAAATATGAGCGCCTCCACGGTTCATTCCGGCTCGTTCGGTGCCAGCGCACCTTCGGCTTTAGATGAGACGCAGTGACAAGCGCTTTTTGCGCTTATTGATGCCATTATTCCCCCCGTTGTTGAAGGCGAGACTCAAACCGTATCGCCGAATCAGTTGACTGTATCCTCGAAGGAATTACAGACGCTTTACTGTAAGGCCCTCTGTGGCTCTTCCGATCGCTTCAATTTCGACCTGTTCCGCCACTATATGGCTTCGCGACCGTCGGATGATCCCAAGCTCGTCGCCACGGTTGAGCGCACCGTCGAACACTTCCCACCCTCTGCAAAGAGCCAGTTGCGTTTCATACTGAATCTCATGCTGACACGTCTCGGTAGCATCATCAGTACTGGATACTGGACTACGTTGGTCGAACAGCCACTCTCGGTACGCGCGGCGATCCTTCAATCGTGGAAACGGTCATGGTTTTCCCTTTGGCCCGCTCTTGTTCGAATCTTCATAGCTATAACCAAGACCTGCTGGAGCCAGACGAACAAGCTGTACCTCCAGCTTAACGGCCATGAGCCTTATAATATCGAGGTTGCACCGGGAGTCGAGGCCGCCTTAAAATTCATCGAGTTCCAAGAACCAATTGAGGCCGCAGTTATCGAGACAGACGTCGTGATAGTAGGCTCTGGGTGGGGGGATCTGTCTGCGCAAAGGTCCTTGCCGAAGCCGGGCTACGCGTCGTAGTCGTTGACCGTGGCTACCATTTCGCACCTGAAGATTTCCCGCTGGCGCTCAACCGTGCTGACGATGTCATGCGAAGCTTGGTGACGGCTGATGGCTCAATTCTCGTCGCGGCCGGCCGGTGCTGGGGGGGGGTGGCGGTACCGTGAACTGGAGCGCCAACCTTCAGACACCCAACTACGTCCGTGACGAGTGGGCACGTGGCGGTCTCACGTTTCTCAAGGAAGAGCAATCCCAGAACCACCTTGACCGTGTTTGTGAGGCCATGGGGGTCAGTGATGCCACCATTCAAGCTAACCATGGTAATCAAATTCTGCTTGAGGGTTCGCGCGAGTTAGGTTGGCGGGTCGAGGCCTGCCCCTAGAACAACGGCGGAAAACCGCATCTCTGTGGCAGTAGCTGCGGTCTAGGCTGTCACACGGGCACGAAACAAAGCTCAGCATCATTTTGGCTGCCAGCGGCTGCGCGTGCGGGCGCCAGGTTTATTGAAGGGCTGGATATACACCAGGTTCTATTCTATGGCAATGCCGCATCCAGGGCCATGGGTGTGATGGGCCAATGGACTTCACGCGATGATGATGGGGTAGCCAACTCGTCTAAACCCAAGACTCAACGGATGGTGCAAATACACACCAAGACAGTCATTTTGGCCAGCGGTGCGCTGAACACGCCGCTTCTAATGAAGATGACTGGCCTCGAGGTAAGCATCCCGTCTTATTTCTCGCTATGCTACTCCCCGGGCGGTCAGCTACTACAGCAGAAACCTTGTAATCTTGTAATGTCTGTTAACCAACGGCCTTCTACGATGCTAATGCGTTCTAGAACCCCAACATCGGCAGGAACCTTCATTTGCATCCCGTGGCGAATATCATGGCAACATGGGATCAGGAGATCAAACCGTGGGAAGGTCGGTAACCACCATGAATCCAAATGTCAAAGGTGGTCATATCTAACAAGACAATCCAGGCGACATGTTGTCAAGTGTGGTCACGGAGTTCGAAGACTTGGACAGAGCTGGTCACGGCGCCAAGGTCTCGTCTCTTGCGATGCAGGTCAGTCCATGCTAGAACTAATCTCATCCATTCTCATGAGGAGGGCAAGTCTACGCACACGGTGGTAGCTGATAAACGATTCATAGCCGTATATAGCAATACTTTTCAACCCGTGGCGGAATAGCATAGACTTCAAAGTCTCCGCTTTGCAATATCGCCACATGACATGTCATATCTCGTTATGCCGCGACCGGGATCCCGGAAGCGTCTCCGCCGAACCGATTGACGGGAGCCCCATCATCAACTACACTCCTTCAAAGTTCGACCGCGCGCACATCGCCACCGGACTCGTGGCCGCAGCCAAGCTGTGCTACCTCTCAGGGGCTCGGAGCCTAGCACCTGCAGTCCCAGACGTACCTCACTTTGAATGTGACCAGCTTCCCAATGTGTCTCGGTCCTTAGATGACGGAGAGTTCGCTGATTGGATCCGCAAACTCGAGAAGACCAGCCTAGATCCCGCGAGAACAACGTTCAACTCAGCACATCAAATGGGTACAACAAGGATGGGCACAAGCGCTGAGACTAGTGTGGTATATGCAAATGGCAGGGTCTGGGGATGCGAAAACTTGTATGTCGCGGACACGAGTGTGTTCCCGTCGGCTAGCGGTGTGAACCCTATGGTGACAGTTATGGCTATAGCTGATCGCATTGCGTGCGGAATCGCCGCGAAGCTAAATTGATATCTACCCTATTACTGCGCTGGCTAAAGAGCGTTCAGTGAGGTTGAAAACCGTGGGTATGTACGGAGCCAAAAAGAGTTAATCGCCGATGCCCCTTTTGCGAGCTATTTCTTGTTGATGTGTTATGTATACTGCTCATGATTCAATTCACCCAAGTAATCTCATTCGCTATGCATTCATACAGGAATGGCGACCACTGAGGGACGACTCGGAACATTCCGATGTCGCAATTTACCGGCCCTTAGCATTAATGTGCAATGCCTTAAATGCAACAAACCTACTGTACGGTAAGAATTACTCGCTTACCACGCTTCCTACGATATCAGTCTTAATCAAACCCCTTCGCATACACCCATCCCCTACATCCTACAAAGTAAGTGCAATACCTGCCTAAGAGGGTAACAGAACATCTTCCAGCTAGGCAAATTCCAAACCCAGTCACCTATCTATTTGATGGCCCGAACTCAACGCTCACATCTATTGTATCAGGTCAAATCCCGTGGTCATGGGTCCGGCAAGGATGTTGCGCGCATCCGAAGTCCTCCCGAGAGCCTCCTCATACCTATCTAGGTAATCAACAAGGTATACTTGCTCAAGCCAAACACGATACCCTTCCATAAGCTTAGGTTAGGCGTATAGGGGGACCTCCTCTTCCTGCAAGCTGGCGGCGCGTTGGAGCGAGGGGCAATGCAACAGCTGCTAAAGAGGCTCTGTCACCTACGAAGTAGGCTCCTCTGCCGTCCCCTTGCTCACTGCCAAGCCAGCAGCATAAAGAAGTTCCTTACAGTCGCTCCCAACCATGTCTGCAGTTGTCAGGCTGTTGCCAAGTGGATGTCAATTGGGTATACAGTTTAAATAGGGTTCACCACCAAAACTATATCCTGCCCTAATAATCCACTGTACACTTTTAATATTTAATAATTAGCCTAGTTACTTATATTAAAGTACTTTTTCGTTACCTATATACTTATATTTATAACTTTATATAATGTATATAATTTAAGTGTTTCATATATTATATATGAGTTAATTAAGTTTAGGTATAAGGAATTGGGAGTACCAGGCGCAATTGCTTCCATGTCTTGTACCTAAAATGATAACAGAGTCGTACTAGGTAGAAGGAAGGAATCCCGAGCACAGCTCAGTCATATCTGTCATTCAACCACGTGGCGCAGCTGCATTGTCGATGCAGTGTTAGTCTCCCAATTTAACATCAACGACAGAGGTGTTTTCTTGTGCACGGATTCGGCGCTTAAGCCATATAGGACCCTTGATGGCCTGGTACTGCTCGCTCGAGAGTCTGGAACCGTAATGGTGATACCGACAACGCTCATGACAGCACCAACCTGAACTCCGTCTTGATTGTATTGGGTGTCGTGCCAATGACGCCCGAAAACTGCAGCTCCGCAATGATGTTGAGTTTTCTAAATAATACGACTACCGAGATGTTAAGAGGTTTCGCGAGATCGTGGCCGGGAGCGATATTCACAAGTGGAAATTTTAATTTACCTATGGGAAGCATGAGCAATACAGTCTTGTTTTGACCTATTATGAGAATGCACGTGCCTACCCTTCGTTCCACTCATCCATTCTTCATTCGCTAAAAACGAAGGAATTGCCATGCCGATGGCTCCATTGGGCGAAGAGGTCCCCATTGGAAGTTACCTCAAATATGCTGTTGGTTGTCCACTACATGCCCATACAACCAAGTGACATACATCGTGACTCGTTTATCTTCAATCGTAGATTGGGCTATACGCTGCGATCTAGCCATCACCCTAGATAGCCTTTGTAGAATTAGCAGATATGGTCTATGTAATAGATGATATGGCGTATATATAGGTTAGCTATGTTACGTAGCCTCCTTTGACTGGGCATGAATTGCCCTAGTTGGTCCAGCTTATCATTCGTCTGCAGCACTCGTCACATCCTGTTTTTCCTAGGCCAGAAACTCCCAGTCAATTGCTTACGAAATGTATCCTAGTCACACCCATAAGCCGGCCGAAGGCTCCGCCTCTCCTGTGGTACGTGTCCAACTGTCGTGGCCGAAGCTCTACGATAATCGCCGAGCTATCGTCACCAAATCGTCGCCGGGCTGCGGCAAAGACTGTACGCCAACAACGTTGCAGTCACGATTTGTCCATCTCTCATCACATGATGTTGAGATCCATTACCATCTGGCGGCATTGGGCCAACCACGTGTGTTTGTCTCTTGCTTTGACCATCATTATAAACATGAACATGGACATGAGATGAGACATTTATGCATACAAATGCTGACTAACATGGGTAGCCAATAGCTTGCCGTCCCTCAGCGTACCATTGCCATGGAAACCGCACGATCTGGAAATCCGGGAGATGGACCTATTGCAGTACTGTTCGTTGCCCCATTTGTCCGTCTCGTCACACCCTAAGTTCCAATTCAACCTGTACACTATAGTACAGTGCAGTGTCTGTCTGGGAGCTGAGCTAACTGCCGGCAGTTGAACATAAAGGGTGCCAGGCTCTTACGACTTTTGGCTACGGCGGCTCGAGGGAACTTGGCCGCGTTCTGCTTCGAATGGCCTTAACTGATGACTCGCCCTCGGCCACGGTTCTCTTGCGGCTCGTACTCGCCTTCGCGTCCCTGCATCTCCACGGTATCCAGATCTACGCCCTTGAGCAGAAGACAGTCGCCCTGAGCATGTTGGCGTCAAACTGCCAGGATAAGGATCTCGACGTGGACGAGACAATCTGGCATGTTGTCTCTGGTATTATGCTCTATTCTTGTGAGGTATGATAAGAAACAAAATTATTGTACTGCATTATGTCATTATTTTAGAATATCACCTGCTAAAACCGCTCTCCCAAGGTCCTCCGCCCCTCGTCTACGTCGGGCGACTGGGTCAAGTATATATCTGGGGTTAAGGAGGTGATCAAGGCCGCCCAATTGGAGATCTTCTGCCAAGATACGCAAGATGTCAGGTCGCTTTTGGATTGGGTCTACTACAACGATGCCATGGCCCATTTTAGCCTCCGGCATTGTGCCAGTGAGGGCGCAAGCATCCCATCCCCGTCGACCATCATGTGGAACATTGTATGCAAGCATTGGCACCCTCCAACCTCAACCCCTTGCCACCTTCTCCCTCCTATAAATTTGTTAACCCCTGGGATGCTAATCATCACACCCAGGCTCCCCTCACTCCATCCCCAGCAACTAAACTTCTCGGACTGCTTATTGAGATATGTGACACTGTCTTGGAGGATATGATTGCAGACACGTCAGACAATTTCAAACAGTTCGTGAAGATCCTCGACTGGAAGATCAAGATGCTTCCCACGTTAAATCCTATGGAGGAGGCCTTCCATATAGCTGCGTTGATCTACCTCGGCCGTGCCTCGGGGACGTTGCTGAAGGAGCCGCTGAAGACGCAAGAGCGGTTGGACAGGGCTTTCGAGCTTCTCCCGGAGCTCGCCTCGTGCGAGAGGCAGTTCCCTATCTTTATCCTGGGCTGTGAAGCCCGGACGGACAAGCGGAGGGTGATTGTGCTGGACCTGATATATAGGACCATGAACAGTCCAGCGTCGCGGTCCTTCGACCACATCAGGCTGTTGCTAGAGGCCATCTGGGCCCAAGATGATCTGGAGGATAACAGACTGCACAAGGAGACGAACTACTGGAAAAAGATCAATCTCACGATGGCGCGCTGCGCAATTATACCTAGCTTTGCATGACGAAGTAATTCGGATACTCCAACTAAGTGTAAAATACTTGCTAAATCCAATCTATTCCTGTAATACTGTAACTCAGCCGTAATCCTGGCTTCTCGCTATCTGTAAATCACTTAGCTACCTCCACTTGTTGAATTGTGCCCAATAAGCACAAACCAAATAATATGCCATTTAGCCAATCTTTTGGTGCATTGGTAAAACCTGACACTGTTTTATAATGTCTTTATCTCGAGTGGGCCTAGAAATGCGTGTGTGAATGTTTCTCAACAGCCGCTCCCCATAAACTTCCATTCCTACCCTCCATTCATATCAATGCACGCTCTCTCGTTTATGTTAATAGCAACAAATATGGCGAGAGAGATAAAGGATATATATATGTGTATACATGTGTACGGATGTTCGGTCATAAACCTCTATATGTCTACCTACCTCTCTAGATATCTAAACTAGTGAACTCCATTAGTGCCATTTCCATGTCCATTGGCGAACGCCATCTCGGTCTGGTCAGAAAGGATGTGATCAATCAATCTCCCATCCCTCACCGCCTCGTAGATAATCGTGACCCAAGACCCGATCGTCTTCTTCGCCCTCCCATCCAATTCGGTATCTCCCACCTGCGGCTGCTCGACCAGTCCCCATCGTGCAATACGGCTGGGCGGCGCGCGACATAGCCAACGTGCTCGTCGACGGCGTCGACGTGATCCACATGCGCTACGGCGTCGCGGAGACGCAGACCGACACGGCGGACCTGGCGCGCACGGTGCGCAACGTAACCTTCCGAAACATACGCGCGAGCGGCGTCGGCGGGAATCTCATGCGCATCGTGCCCCTCGCGAACCACGAGGACGTGCGGCTTGAGAATATTAGCCTTGATGCTTTTAGCGTGCGCTCTACGGGGATTTACGAGAGTCAGTTCCCGTTGTGGATGGGCGGGGACGGGACGCCTGTCGCTGTGAGTGGGTTTGTTATTGAGGGGTTCTCTGTGGGCGGTGTGAGGATCGACGCGGAGAATTATGCCGATGCTGGGGGGCTTAGTATTGCCGAGGAGTGTTTGGCGGATGGCAGGGTTGTGATTATATGAGTGAAAAGAAAGAGGGCTAGGTAGAAAGACAGGAAATACCGTTGGTTTTCGGGTTTCGCGACGGCCAGAGTTGAGATCAGCGAGTAAGAAACTCGAAGCTAAGGAGCTATTGGTAAGCTACGTGTCGTCCTCGCGGATTGTTATGATAATCTACGTCCGTGGAACTATGTCCAAAGCTTGCCTGGCGAAGAGGATCCCTTCTTCAAGCACAATAAAGTTTCGTGTTAGGAAATGATCTTCAGATAAAGTGGCAGCAAGGCGGTTTAGATAGAGCGACAGTGGATTAAAGTCAAGAAGGAATTAAATAGGCAGCTTTGTCTGTCAGCTCCGTATCCCTCATACAACGCGCATCTAAGCTCGTGACAATGTACTCCGCGGCCGGCGTACTCTCTCTTCCTGGAAGCAAGAACAGCTTAGCGCGTAGCTTGGTAGCTTGTCGAGGTTATCTGAGGTTTTTGATTCTGAGTACAATTTAGAGTTGGGGTACATCTGGCTGCAATGTAATCGATTCGGGGGGCGGCCTTCTTCAAAGGTTCGGAGTAGACTCCGCTGTGATATCTTCATCAGTTTGGTCGCCTTCCTTCTCTTCGACAGCTGCATCATCTTCGGCTTTCTTCCCCTTCTTCTGCAACACGGACATAGCTCCAGCAGACCCTGCAACAAGAGCACCTGCACCCTGGACTGCCGCTGAGACCGCGGCAACACCGTACCCGCCAGCGCCAGCGCTCTGCAGCGTGGCGAACAGTGATGGGGCGACTACACGTAATTATCGTTCGTCGTCAGTGGTAATCTGATTCAGTAGACATTGCAGAATAGGTAGAAAACCACCAGAAGGTGATGATCCTGATTGAAATGAAGATGAAGTAACGAATGAGTATACTCACGGACACTGCCGATACCGCTTTGTGCGCTCGCGGCGAGGGATCCTGTTCACATGCTATATTAGCTGAAAAGCTTGGAAAATAGAAGCAGAGATAAAGTGTTTCTATGGTTGATTTGGAACCTGGTCACTTACCGCCGATGATTCCATTCACACCGAATCCCGCCGCCCCTATCACAGGAGCCGCCGCCATCATCGGTACAGCGACCAAAGCTGCCCCGCCACCCATCGCTAGCGTCTTTCCCGGATTGGCGGCGGCCCATTGCGCCGCCTTGGTCAATGCTGCTGGTACTGTAACATTCATCTTAGTCGCTAGTTGCTTTAAAGGCGTTTGCGATGACGTCGTAAAGTTGGAGTCTAAGGTTTGACTTGCTAGGTTATGATGGAATTGTGTCAGACTCTTTGGGGGCGCGTTATAAGAAAAGTTCTACGCATGACAGTTGAGCCTCAAGTTAGGCCAACTGCATGGCTGACAGGGTGTCGTGTCCGGTTGGAAATGCCGCGACCCTTGACGCAGCGCAGCACCAATAAGACAGCGAATTGAGGGTGGATGGTTCGTTGCGCAGCCACGTTGCGCGCCTGAATCAGGCGTACTTGTCGTTGCCTACATTCTGCCCAAAAGAATGGAGAGTGGGGATTATACGACGCTGGGATCCGTCTTTCATCTCTCTGTACGGTGCGCGCAGCAAGTACAAGCTATTCAAAGCGAACTATTCAGGAGAATACTTCATCGGATTTTATACAAAAGTTAATGTCTTAACTTAGGAATAACCAATTCTACCGTACGATTAAGCTATTTCTCTATTCGACTGCCCAGCTGTTTTACCATAGATGTTCAGTACTACCAGTTAGATGACGTAAGATGAATCACTCATACAAATGCTGCGGAAGTACTGAACGCGAAAGACTGATGCAACTCCCCTGGTTACAATGATACTAGTCCAATTCGACTTTTCGGTTCATAAAACGCTGGGCGACAATGAATGCTACAGCCTGAAGGTTACTGAAGATGCTACGGATGAACTAGCCCCTGAATCATTGATATATTCTTTAAATTACTTCGTTATCTGTCCTTTGAATAATTACCATAATGTAGATAGCGTATGATTTAATGGGCAAAGTCCTAGCCTTCGCGATTTCGATACGAAACATCGGTAAGCGCCACCTCCGTTGATAGCAGCCTGTGTATTAATCGATGTGGTATTCAGCTGATGGCATGCATAACGCATTGTCAGAGCACGCACATAACCGCCTAGAAATGGGGGCGGAAGGATGAATTGGGCGGCTACTGCTACTCTAGCCAGCTGTTGTAAGGTAGATAGATCCCAATTACTTGGGGAATGTAGATGATGAGACGTTAGGATACGCGACCTTCTCGGTCTCAGAACCACGCAGTATTATCAGTCGACTCCGTTACTGTCTCACGTCGTTACAGTGTTTGCAGTCGCAAAAATGTGTGGCATCAAGTTACCGCTAAATGCTATCTCTTAATATAATACCGCCTTGAAACAACAATATTTAAATGCGCAGAGATCACCAGGCGGCGAGATGGTCTTCCTCAATTAGTCAGTTCTCAGATCTGAATTCAATATCTCTGGTCGCATTCTTGTCTTTCAAGCCGCCCTGTCCGCCTTAAAAGCTCATCCACGCAGTCTCATACCATGGTGGCTCATCGAATCAGTCATCCTGAAGTTTCCATTGAAGGCTCTGCTCCAGATATTGGGGACTATGATGAGATTCCCAATGCCAGCGAAAACTCTTCGTTTAGGGGGAAGAAAGACAATGCTTTCTCTACAATGAAAGCACCCCGAACCGAGCCGCCATTGTCTCTTCCGGATCTACTTGGTTATGGTGGATTATTTGGAGTCATTGGGGGCTCGTTCTGGATCCTTGGTATCTTTGGCTTTCTCACCTTCCTCTGGTTTGGGCATGGTTCTCGTCCCGAGGCGGCCGACGCGACTTCGCTCTGGCGTTTCCTTGCTTTGCATAACTATTTTCCCGAGACTGTCACAATCTGTTCAGTCGCACTGCGCATTGTTGTGGGCATTCAGGCTACTATTTGCACTTCGATGCTTGCAGCGCTTATGCTCGAGAAGCACGGTGCTCGGAAGACTCAGGGGGCATGGCTTTCTATTATGCGCAGTATTAATGATGGCCCTATGAAGCTAGGGGGTATCCTAGCTAAAGGACCTAGTGTCGCTTTCCTGCATGTGGAGACATGGTTGACGTTCCTCATTATCATCGTCACACTGGCACTTCAATTTTCGTCAACCCTTCTTCTTTCGGACATAGACAATTTCGTTATCCTAGGAAACCTCAATGCCACTGAGTTCGGAGACCTCTTTTCACTTAAGAATGGTTCGAACATCACACTTTCCTTTGACAATAATATTAGTACCCGGCCTCCAATCTATGCGGCTTTCGGCGAAGTTCAAGCAGGATTCAACGCAACACCGAATGAAAGGGGCGCAAGCGATACAGGCTTTATTCAAAGGTCTCTGATACCTATCTCCGACGTTAACCAACGGACTTCTGTCAGGAAATTAGAAGGTGCTACGATGGTAATGGGTTCTCATGTTTCTTGTATTCGGCCCCATATCGATGCCAAGTATGGCTCCTTCACCTATCAATGGAACGAGAATATCCACTACGGGTACATTGAAGGCACCGTTGATTATAACGCGTCGTTTTCTGAGGCAGGCGTAACTTCAAATATGCCATGTAATGATAAAGACTGTGCGGCCGTAGGCTTCGGCTGCGTCATCCCTGGCGTGGATGCAAAAGAAGCTGGTTGGCAGACAACGGCTTGTATATTCGATGGCGTTGGGGGTAGAGGGAATACTTCCGATTTTAATTTTACCTGGAATCCATCGGAAGGTCTTTGGTCACCGAACACAACTATGGCTTTGGTTATGAGCACCAGTATGGGTTATGTGGACTGGTCAAAAGTCCAGGATATCGCAATTCTGCCTGCTGGTGATCCATATATGGAATGGCAGAGCTATGATACAGGCTCAGGATATTTCAACATAACTCTCTGCTCATTCGGGTTCAACCTTGGCCGCTTTCGTACGTCAATGGTAGCTCCTACACCGTTACGGGAACCACAAACTACGTTTGACCACTCTACCACTGTCCATAGTACAGCGGATGTTCAAAATTTCATGGGTGTCAACGTACTACAGGGCAGTCACGCAGCACGGAGCATCCTTGATCTCAAAATCCTCGGTCCTGCTGAGGACCTTCCTGCACCTTCGCAAAACTTCTTCTTTTTAGGAAACATTACAATCGGCCGGCTAGTATCGAGTGTGATGGAGTCGGTCATATACGACCAATTTTGGGCCAGTGCCGACGGCAACACGACTATGCTTCTTTGCAGCTTCTGCAGCGGAGTGGCTAGCCAGTTTGTCCATCCTGAAATTTCCTTACTTTTCAGTGACACGGTTGCCGAGACTGGGCGAGCTGCCAATGCCCTTATGTCGCTTTTAACAACTTGGTTCGGGTTGGCTTATTACACGTATCTTGGCGATCTTAAGATACCATACAACGCAACAGTGCTAGCCACCAAGACGGTCCAAACTCCAAGGATGTGTTCGATAAATGGCTGTCCAGGGTATATTACGGTCAGCACGCTCATTCTCACACATGTGATTTCCGTCGTAACTATCGCGGCTTTGTACGTTGTGCAGACTCGGTACTCTCGTTATGGCAACGTGTGGCATACAGTCGCACAGCTTAGAGGAGATGAACTTGCCGACGTACTAGATGAAGCACACGACGCTAGCGACGCGACAGTAGAGCAAAATCTGAAAATGCAGGATGAAGCTCAACTTCTGAAGGTCGGAAGGCAAAGTGGAAACGGTCGTGTCGGGGTGATTGAAGGTTAAGGATAATCAGTTACCGGGTAATTAAGAATTTGAAACTTGTATATTCTGGAAAGCAATCTTGCAGAAGCCTCAAATATAGAAACGAAAGGGAAAAAAAATTAAAATTTAAAAACATACAACACCAGGGATTCGCTGGTCGTCACCGACCCAACTACTAATCTGGCGGTATCTGATTTAGCTAAGGGGGAGCGGACGGGACCCCGCGTTTTCCAGATCCTATGGTCGTATGTGATTAACTGTGCTCAAACTTTAACTTATATAGAAGTGGAATATCGGGCGATCCGTAGATGTTGAGAAGTAAAAAAAAAAAAAAAAAAAGGGGGGGGGGGGGTTTAAAGTCTAAACTACCCAGCAATGAACATGAGAACCTTGGGGGCTACGGTCACAGAAGGTCGGCGTTTTACCAAGTAATTCAATTTTCTATCGATACAACTTATCCAACGCCCTTTTCAGTGATCATCTCAATGCTTGCGCTCAAACAGACCTTCACCATGGCAGCCTCCAGACTCTACAACCAGCTCCAGCGCTCGCCCCCGAATACCCGCTGGGGCCTGTATGTTTATCGCGCTACCTATGAAGATCAAAGCCTTTGGGAGAGGTATATGGAGTATGTCCATAATGCTGTGTTAAGTCATCTCCAGCCATTCGATGACAAAGAGCGCGAAAGCGACGCCTTGCGCTACCAAAAACTTCGCGACTCGTTTCGGCTTGTGATTAGAGAAGATAAGGCTTGGGATAATCTAACATTATTGCAAATGCGAGAGAGTAAGTTTTCCAAACTATCCTCACAATCGTGAATCTCTCATCTTTAGTATAATGCTGGCTATTATTACGATGTTCCCTTGAGCGCCTACAGCGATGATAAAGATGGCCCCAAGGATCTTTGTACACGCTCCTGTACCTATATATCATGTGCACCATCCATTCCATCTTCATCATACTTTCTAATCTTGGATTGTCTAGTCTTTGATAGGTCTAGTCTTCTCAATGTCAACGAACCAGATCCTACATCTTGGCTTACATGCGGGATGGATCGATGGTATTTCGTTTACGTCAACAAAGAAACGCTTATGGATTTCCAAGCCATCGATGATTCTCGACAAGCACCAACCCCTAACTACCTCAAGGAAGAGGTTACTTTTATTATCGTGCATACACAGCCCGGCTGGCGCGAGCCTGACGATGACGACGTAGGCAAAGAGTGGCAGTATATGTAAGCATCAATTTCGACACCAATTGCTATTTCTGTTCCGTCACTAACATAGATACGGCTTAGGTGTGGCTATTGGTTTAGTCAATTCTACGAGCTCACATATCGCGACAGCGATGGATGGTTTACTCTGTTTATCAGGCCGCCCCATAAATGGAACGGCTATTGATAGTTATGATGTTCTGTATCTGCAATTTATGCTTTGAAAATCTTCCTCATTTCAGATAATGAAGGGAAGCAAATGACCTTTGACTCGATACTTCAGCTATGGTATAGTAGGCTGTAGAAAGCGTTCAGCTAAGTTTTTAAACTAATGCCACAATAAATTCCATATTATTCTATGTAGTATGTGCCTATCAGGTACCTATATTGAAAGGATGATAAGAAAAGAAAACAACTCGGAAAGGCGATGATATCAATTGGGCAATTATTAGATGATTATCTACGTGGCTAGTGAGTACATATACATACCTAGGTATATTACTAGGAATATCTCGGGCCGGATAGCTTTTCTTTCCCAATGGTCAGTAGAGTTGATTGCATAGCAAACAATCTGGCACTCTCTTCTTGCCCCCGAGCATTTTCGCCAACAGCGACTTCACGCCACAACTAGAAGCTTCCACATTCCACTCCCCAAGCACAACTCTACCCACAAACACTTCTCTAATTTTGACACCCCATACCTACTACCTCCCCTTCCACTTCCCGGATACGACCAATCATGAATATTCCAGTGCCAGAAGCATTTTTTCAGGCAGCTGAGTGGGCTATTGCCAACCCAGGACAAGCTGCCGTCAACTGGGCCACCGAGAACGCAGCTCAGGCAGTTAACTGGGTGGCCGACAATGCAGAGCAAGCAGCTAGCTTTGTGGTTGACAATCAAGAAGCAGCGGTTGACTGGGTGGTCAACAACGCAAAGCAAGTAGCTAGCTTTGTGGTCGACAATCAAGAAGCAGCGGTTGACTGGGTGGTCAACAACGCAAAGCAAGTAGCTAGCTTTGTGGTCGACAATCAAGAAGCAGTATGGGTCGTTATCAATGCAGACCATGCAGCTGAGTGGGCAACTGCCGCCCAAGTACAAGCAGCTAACTGGCCCGCTGATGAAGTGGCACAGGCGATTCGGTGGTTGGTTGGCAACCCGGGAACGGTAATTGGCTTGGTGAACGACAAAGAAAGACTGGTAGTTGACTGGGCGGTTGACAATCCCGAAGTGGTTGTGGTGGTCGTCGCAGGAGTGGTCTGTATCGTTGCACCGATGGCTGTGGCCGCACCAGCTCTCAACGCTATCGGATTCGGCGCGAATGGTATTATTGCTAGTATGTCATGACAACTCATTCTCGCGGGCAATGCGAGTCATTGTACAAGTTTATACATAACCAAGCCCTTAATTCTACCCTCTCCCCTCTCCCCTTTTATATCATGAAACACTACCAGTGTTGTTGTTTGGCTAATTTTGTACACACCAGACTCCATTGCGGCTAGCATCCAAAGCGGTATTGGCAACGTTGGTAAGTCACTCTTTCTTGAGTTCGGCTTTACAATGCATGCATGGCTGCCTGGTGGGCGAATGGATCTGCTCTTAATTAACATCATCCCTAAAAGCATGGGACATTTGACTCTTGTTCAGAAAATGGGTTAACATATTATGAAGTAACTAACATAACATTTTACTTACAGCGGCCGGGTCCCTCTTTGCTACTCTACAGAGCGCTGCAACTGCTGGATACGGCGTTGTCCTTGTTTCTGGGGGAGTCCAAGGGGTTGGTAGTATTATGGCAGGATCTGGCGCAATTTACGCCATCATGAAGGGAAAGAATAAGGAGACCTAGGCGGAAATAATGTGGACGGCAAAGAAAAGACTAATAACGCAAATTTTGCAGTGAAGTCTGAAGTGGTGTCAACAGAACTAGTTTGCCTTGGATTGAGCCAGGTGTTTTCCAGGGTCATTGTCACGATACACTATCACGGCCTTAAGAAGGACCGGTGTAGGGACAGATATCTTAAGGGCATCTTTTCCAACTACCACAGTAAGGAATAGGAAGACCAGCAACGAGGATATGGTAGATGGCGGCGTAATGAACTACTCTGAAGCAGGGACATAGTCTCACTTCTTAATAAACTGTCTCATACCCTATAATCGATGCGCTTAATCCAGACTAGACATGGAACTATGATGACCACATACCCAGACGAAGAACTTGATAGCATCGTGAAAGTATCTAGCGAAGTTGTTTCTGCAGTTGACCTCACACTCGATTTGCAATTGTAGGACCGTTCCATCTGCCCATCATCGATTAGCATAGCCCATACAACTATCTACACATCTAATGATATGGGCATACAAATTACCCTTCATAAAGCAACATAAACGTTTCGAACTTCAATTATTGCAAAACGTTTACAATGGAATTAGCATAACCTAGCCAATGTATAAGTTGTCTTTAAATAATTAATCAATATACGCTTTATATGATATGTGCTTAGTTGTTAGATTAGCTAGCTTGCTACCCCTATATATAAGAATATAATATTCCATATCTGCATTCTTTGCTTTAAAGAGCCTCTTCATTTCAGGTAACGATATTAGGAAGCGAATAATATTGTACTCCACACTTCAGCCATAGTAGTTTATGGTAGAAGGTTCCATTTGGAGCCTTGCATAGAAAGATGTACAATACCTGGGTACTTTCTAGGTCCGATGTAGGCGTTCATTGTTGTCAGATAGCAAACATGATTAGCGTTAGGCAGAAGCTTCTTGCATATTCTACAGGAGCTGGCCGTAACCTAGGTAATACACGCATTAGACGAGGCTCGTTTTCCACGCCAAACACGTCTCCTACAACCACACTTCACCACACCACAACGAAATTCGTAACAACTCACTTTCCCAACACAATTCTGTTTAAAGCTGCTCCAGACATCTCAATATTCCGAAGCTATCACAAAGCACTTCACTTCTCGCGGAAATTCATCATGACCGCTCCCGATCTTCCCGAAGCCTTGGCCAAGTGGGCAGCTGCCAATCCCCGACAGGCGACAGCGGCGGGCGTTGGTGTAGTCTGTATCGCTGCACCAATGTTTGTGGCGGCACCTATCCTCGGACTCATTGGATTTGGCTCAGGCGGAATTGTTGGTGGTATGTGATTACTATCCACTTTCATTAGGATTACGCTCAGCAATGCAACCCATCAACTATCAAACCCCCTTGTTCCACAATTACCTGACATCCCTTTCACATCGCGGATTTAATGTGGGGGCTCTTGGTAAGCTAATACTCGTGTACACAGGATCCATTGCCGCAGGCATCCAGAGAGGAATTGGCAACGTGGGTAAGTAGCTCTTCCGTTCTATCGGCTTCATTATATAGAGAATTGCACCCCATCAGGATCACGTCCTATCGTTTACAACCATTTGAAAGCTACTCGAAGTCTAGGTCGCCTCACGTGGTCATGGCTAACTTCAACTGTAATTCATAGTGGCCGGTTCTCTCTTTGCTACTCTGCAGAGCGCTGGGGCCGCCGGATACGGTGTCGCGGCAGTCTCCGCCGTAGTCCAAGGTGCTGGCGTCCTTACTGCAGCGGCCGTCGCAGCTTCATCTGTCATGGATATGAAAAAGAAGGGGGATGGGGAGGACTCTGAGGGTGACGACAATGCAGACGATAAAGACAAGGAAGATGGCGAGGATGACGAAGGTGGTGCAAAGGCAGAGCTTTGAAGTATCAACGGCTGAGCTAGAATTTCTTGAGGTGGAGTTCAGGGTGTACCATTTTCATACCGCAGTGTCACCGCATTGAAAAGGAACAGCATGGGCATAGATCTCTCAAGGGCATCATTCCTGGCTGCCATAATCAGGAAGCGAGAGACGATAATGAAGAATAGGGTAGATGGCAGGTTAATAGCTCACTAAGAGGTGCCGAGCAAGAAATGAAGAGTATCTGATCTGCCTCCAACAGAAGTCTCCTACAGTGGCCCCCAGTCAAACTGAACACGAGCTACAATTGTGAGATATTAAAGACAACATTGTTGACATCGTGAGATTAATTCTTCAAAATGATGTACGTAGACGCTTGATCCCAGAGCTTAGACTCGACGCGATTAGTGAGGTGTTAATAGCTGGCATCTAAACAAGTGAAACTAAGATTACTTGCTAGGAACGAAAGACAGAACAGAGCAAATCGAAATGGATAGTCAAGATCTACCTCCACCTTCTCCTGAGCTTCGCGTCACAGTACTATTTGTCAGGTGATATAGTCACATAGACCTTAGGGGTGGCTGTGTTAGACCTACTGGCTATATAAAGGGGTGTTGGCCCCCCCTTCGAGGGTTGGAGGGTTCAGGATTCAATGATTATTGACGCCTATACTATCCCTTCTACCTACCTACTTGACTGTGACTGACCTTCTACTCACTCCGGGACCAACCCACCTGAAACTATTACGGTGTACACGTATCCCCCATACCACTTACACCACTGCCAACCCCAGGGCATTTCCAACCCGCATCCTCAAACCACTTCACAGTAGCGCCCTTCGCACCCCCAAGCACATTCTCCCAATGTTCCACAGGCACACCCTCCGCAAATCTCCAGCGTCCCCGGAATCCCACCTCCAGATCTTCCAACCCCTTTTTACGCGCCCGCAACACGCCGTCGACGGTAGCATAGTCTCCATCAAAAGATATAGACCCAACATCCATGCTCAATGTACAGTCAGTCGCCGCGACAAGGGCTTCTTCCCATGCTTGCACGGCTGCAATCCCGTATATCGATGCGCTATGCGAATAGAAGGGGTGCAGGACTATGTCCGCGGAGACGACCTTAGAGAAGCGTCTGAGATCGTCGTAGAGGTAGTGTAGAAGTGCCAGAGGATCCTGGAAGTAGATTGCTTCGTCTGTTTCTTGTGTTTCTTGCGGGGTAGGTGACATTGTGCTTGTTTGAGACCACGCTTGGAGTCAAGTGAAAGAGGTAGATAGAGCTTAGATAATTGATTGATCGATTGAAACGTAAGATCGGAGGGAGTAGCCAATGCACATAGAAAGAGTTTTACTCTACGGACCTTGATGGGGGTGGATGTGACGATAGAGCCTAATGTGCACAATAAGGGGCGTATGAGTTGGTAGCCTTGGCTCAGACTGAGACAAAGCTACCTAGATATGGGAAATTAAGTTTTAAGGCGGTCGGTAACTGCAACAGACGCTACCATAAAATATTAAATTATATAAGTCAGCATGCATGCATGCATAGGCATCATCCGTCGGAGGTCCGAGGGCTGAAGTGAATTTCTACATTTTAGCTCTTATTCAATGATGTATGGAAGGAAATTCAAGTATTTTACGGTGAATATGATATCTTCACATTTTAAAGGATTAGATTGCAGGAAGTAAGAAATGCCCGAGTAAAGAAAGGCGAAAAAAAAAACAAGCAAGATTGAACACTTGATATGATGCGGCGGTCCCTCCTAACCATATCGTTGAAAATGAGAGCCTTGGCACTTAGCAATTCTTTCTCCTTTCTTTCTCTTCTCTTTTTCTTTTTTTCTTTTTCTCTCTCTCTGTCTTGTTGGTCAAGAATGTTTAGGTCTTGTCATTATTTGAGCAATTGATATTTTCTCCTTCGTTTTCTCTGTAGGCACCTTAAACAGCTCATCGTTTAGTAGCAACATCATTGCCTATCACCGGGAAAGTCTCATACAACTCTTCGTTGGTCTTCGTCAAGTCGCCTAGAATGCCCCTAGGATGACCGATAGGCGTCTTATAACCTCGATGGCCTTCTCGTCCAGTCTATTCCGTAATTCTTTGCCCTTTCATTGACGTGGCACTCCTTGAGGGTTGCCAGAAACTTTCGAGGTCGGTCTACAATTGACTTGGACTAGGAAATGCGCCATAGAGCTATCCCTACCTTATCATGTTGAACGTAGGTGGGGTTATATAATAACCGTAAGACTGCTCGAACGTCTAACGGCGTCGTTTTTGACGTTCGAGATATTGTGATTGCCAAGTATCAGACGTTATAACGAGGGCAGATAGTTGGATTTCAAATTTGAGGCTATTCACAATACGATAATTCACTAGGTCTGCAAAGGTCCTCGGCCATCCAATTCCTTCTTAGCCTTGGCAGCTGGCCATGATGCTACAATTGTACCATTTGACCTGCCTGCTTTTATTTGCCTTGGTCTTCGAGACCGGTTTCGACACGCGAGGTCTATATAACCTTACTTTCAGGTGTTGCCTACATGTCTCTAAAAGTCATGAAATTTGTGCACCGTACCCGGCGGCTCAGCCGTACGCCGCATGTAACAGACATTGTGAGTGGAGTGTTAATAAATACCATAGAATAAAGGTTCTCAAAGGGTAATATCTCAGACAATTGAGTCTAAATATACAAATCATAATATATAGTACCTATACAAAGGTCATTAAAAGGTCTGCTCAAAGAAAACCCAATTCAAAAATACGTACCTCACAACAGAAAAAAGGGGGCATGCAGACACTAGTATTCGAACCCGCTTACTCTCATGACCAATGGGGGAAGGTATCCTAGAGGGCTAGACAGACGATTCGACTACCGGACTGCTTGAGATGAAGGTGCTGGTAAGGCCATATCTATACGCATTGTTGGGAGGCGGGGAGCGGGAAAGGGCCGGATACTTCTATATATCATTGGTGAGAAGAATAGATAGGAGGGACTTGTACCTAATATGTGAGTCTCTGCGCTTAGCAGGTGATAGAGGCATGTTTGATACTTGAATGAAGCGGAAATAGAAGTACTTAAGTACCTATATATGTACACAATGTGTGTGCACGGACCTGTGGATTTGATCAGTAGGTACCTAATTACTGTATCTTCCTCATGTATACATGTAGATAGGCAGTGACAAGCATTCATTGATGGAATCTATTGTCAGGGTTGGCCCCCAATCTTGCCAAGCAATTTGCACTGCTTTTTTAGCCCTCCCCAGGACTCTATTCCTAAGGCACCGTTTATACAGTGCGAATTTAATCTAGTCTGATCAGATAAGATGAGGGTATTGCCTTGTTAAATTCGAGGTTTTATTCTGAACTTGAAGCCTGTCTACTGATGGGAGTCCAATGCTGTTCGACATTTCCCCTATCACTCACTATTGAGCCGAACCTTTTACCGAGTCACCAATAGCCGTAGTCTTTAGGTAAGTAACCTCCAATGGATCACATCTCAGCAAATGAAGCGTTAACTGGAATGGAATCTAGATTGACGTTGAATACCAAATGACAAGTAGATATCACGATCTATCCATATACAACATTTCGTTCCTGATTCCCTCTCGGTCACGAAATCCACCCCTTGTATTCAGAAATGTTCTCTTTCCTTACACCTTCCATCTCCCCCTTGACATCGAGCAACCTGACCTGACCCCCTTTCTCCTTGCTCCACTGAGCCACGAAGTCCTTCACGCGCTTCTCAGTCGCTTCGTCATCCTTCATCAGCAGAGCCACGGCGTCATAACCGCCAGCGCCAGGAACGACGCCGTTGTAGACGCCCTCGACTCCCATTAGGGCGTCCAAAAGACTCGTCTGGCTATCGGGTTCGATGGGAACGCCGCTTTGGGTTCCCATGGAACGGATGAGCTCGCGGATATCTGCGACGGCGGATCGGATGTCGTCGAGTTTGCCCTCGCTAAGAATAGATCCGAGCCTCACGTTTCGTGACTGCAATTCGTCCCACAGCTTTTTCGAGTCCGCAGGGTTGGACTCGCGCCATTGCAGAACCTTCTTCACCATGCTGACGGTTTGGCTACCGCAGTCGACGTCGCACATGCGGAGGGCAGTTCCAGGGGGTACACTGACTCCTTCTTTCGTGATGTGCATATCCCATGATGAGCCATCGATGAGCTTAGTCAGCGCGGGCGCGAAGCCCGGCGCACCGGCTTCTGGTATGCTCTTGAGGACGGATGGGGAAAATCGCCGGTACCGGCAACTGCCATAAACAGCAGCCGCAATGTCGAATCCCGAGCCGACTTTACCTTGGGCTGCACAGTGAGCTGCCTGAGCGAGGTTGTGCAGGGTGCGCTTGCCCTCTTCACTGGTGATGTTGAAATCGGACTCGGGCAGATAATGCGTCAAGAGAGCGGCGGTCAAGGATGTGACGAGTGCGGCAGATGAGCCGAGCCCGGTCTTGTTAGCACCCCTCAGTGTTGTCGGGAACTTGGCGAAGCGAGTGGGATTCTTCTCTGTGCCGGTGAGAGAATGGGGTTGAGAGTAGTAGTCATTGTCTGCTAGAATAGTGAACTGCGCCGGATTGAAAGTGTGCGATGACCGACTGAAGGCCTTGCCCGTGATGTAGCTCAATGCATAACTCAAAGTGACCTCAACGAAGGGGTTGGTGTCGGTGTTTTCGCCGCTGGTGTGACGTGAGTATGCAGGACCATACGAGTGAGACAGTGTGTGAAATGAGAACGAGGAGACTTACCTCAAGAGCTGTGTCACTTTAATGCCGCCGTCCTCGGGGGCGAGGTGGTAGCCATAGCGCCACGAGGCTTCTTGGAATTGAGGGCTATCGACGACGATCTCACTTAGCTGGACGCCAGGGCTCGTCTTGATCTCGCGAGCGATGACGTTGATGCGGGCGCTGAGGCCAAAGACGAGGGCGGTGTACTCTCGGTCAAGCACCAGGTAGCCGCCAGCCAAGAACACCTTGCCCGGTGCGGAGACGGCGGTAGGGGTGGCGCCCGGCATCTTGGATTGGACTATCTACTGTAGGCGAGTGAAGATCTTATGTCAACAATAGCCGAGGCGCATGCGACCCGGATTCGGATAGATTGGGCTGGGTTGAGATGAATTGAGCCGGCAGAGCAGTGCGAAACGAACCCCTCTATCTTGGTTGGATGGCGGGCGGTGGTTGAGAAGAAATGATCGACAGGGGAGGGGTCAGTGGTAGCTCGGAATAGCTGGAGACACAAGACGAAAACCCAATCACCGAAGATCTCGGATACAGGATACGGATCTCTATATAGGAGACGCGATGGCTAGGATTCTGTGCAAGAATATAAAGTTAAGGTTAATCGATGCTTCAATGTGAGTTAACACTGACGGCGTCGAAGCATAATTTGGCATGTTTCGGCCGTTTGGGTGCATCTCTGCGGGGAAGCTCAAAATAGCGATCCCCGACGCCGCCGTTATTTCGAAACCCCCACTACCGGTTCCATCCATCCATCATCCCCTGTGTTTCTATTTTTGTCTAGGCTTTGTTCTACCTACTTATGGTGGATTGTGAGTTGGATATTTTCATCACTTCCTTCCTTCCTTACTGTAGGTAGGGTATAATAATGACTTGTAACAAGAGGCTGTCGGGGTGAATCCCTGAGATATACACCTACTTAGGTATATATATATATATTTAGGTATATATGGGTGATGGACGTCGGCAAGCTAGATACAGTAGGTGAGGCCGCTGTACAGTGCATAACACTGTCCGCTCTTCACCTTTCACAGCGTAATTCACAGCGTAATTCAGGGCTATACAGTATCAGTAGCCCTCCTAGTTACTGTATCTACTATCGCAAATCGCCACTGGTAGATACAATCCAGTATGTACCAACACTAGCCCAGATTGGGCATGGTTTCGAGAACGTGATCCAATGCTAGCGGCTCATCTGATTGTGTGCCTGACTTGACTCGATTTCGTACTTATCTATCTACCTACGTACTCACTGAGCTTTTGAACTTCTACTCTCGCAGGTATTGAAAGACAGTCGTAATAGATCCCATTTCGTGAGATGTTCTGTGCGGCTGACGTGCGGCTGACATGCGGTACCGTGGTCTGCACCATGTCTACCTCATCCAGACTCATCTACCTACTGGTACATGCACACCATCGGCAGTGTCATATCGCACACAGTAATATTGTCATTTCCTGAGTAATCCGGTATTTCTCTAGTCCAATGTCGAGGACATAGTCATCTCAATCAAATGGTCTTTGGCTGACGGAAAGCTGTCTTTCTCGTTTCCACATGGCTGAAAAGAACCTACCAACAGATTGGTAGTAGGCACCAGCTAGGTGCCTAAATATCGAACGTGTGGGATTCGGTGTTACTCTCTACATAAGTATCATCAGTACATGATGGAGGTATCTACCTGAGCACACGTAGCGACTCATCGGCTGAGCTCTCGCTTCGCGGCTGGGTCACGCCGCATCCAAGGGGCATGTACCGACCGCCTACCGAGGTAGCTGAAAAAAGACGCCTATCTATCTCATGTTGAAGCCACTTTGATAAACCAAGCTTCAGCTCCTTCTCACTTCTAGTTGGTAACATTGTGCTCCACGTATCTTGCACATTGATTCTTGACGAACATAAGCGTTGCAGAGAGCAAGCGTCTAGATCGAGCTTTCAATATTCAATACCGACTCTTAAGATATACTGCCCATGCTTCGACTGCTTCAATCTGGACGTCGCGAGATATGTCACTCGAGTTCACAGCGCAAGCCAGGGCAAAGGCTTTCGTGGACGGCCTCGCACACGGCCTCAACTACGTTGAACACGATTCTAGTAAGTAACTAAAGGCCGAAACATCTCGATGTTTTTCTGTTTGTTAGCAACTTATATTATCTTGAATAATTGGGAAAGCACCTCATTGTCATGGACGCACTGCTTGTCATTTCGTATCTTGCTGCCACTCCAAGGCCACAGAGACTGACCGTCAATTCGTAGCGGAGATATTAGAGCCCGAGATTCGACGGCTGGTGGAATCCTCATGGGAGCAGAAACATAAGGCCCGCGATGCAATAGACTCGTAGGTATGTGTTCAATCCAACAGGATGAAGCTGACAGCGGATTTTTAGATTGACGAAGAATCTTGAAAACGGCAACGCTTGCTTCAGTAGTTTTGTCTTCGATCTGTTGCGAAATGCCGATGACAACAATTTCTCGAAAGCACGATCCCATTCTGATATACCAACTATGACTTTCAAGGCTTCTCCCTCTTGCATCACTATTGACTGTAACGAGGATGGATTCACGCCAGAGAACCTTGTAGCCCTCTGTGGCATTGGTCAAAGCTCCAGGCCAGGTACTGGGCCATACTTCGGTAACGAAGGACTCGGGTTTAAGTCAGTCTTCATGGTTTCATACAAGGTACACATACAATCTGAGAGCTACTCCTTCTCCCTCAACTACAAACTTGGGCAGTCAGAGTCAGGAATGGGTATGATTACTCCAACATGGGAAGATTTTCAAGACAGGCCACCGTCCGGTATTACAAGAACGAAGTTATTTCTTCATCCTGAGACGAGATTTTCATCAATTCTACAGCAATTTGAAGAAATACAGGCTGCGCATCTATTGTTTTTAAGAAACATACGACGTATCAGCATAATCTACACGAATGACAGCGATGCAATCTTTCTATCTCAAGAATTCTTGAAACAGCACGATACTGAAAGTCTAGTGTCGGTGACCAAGGAACAAGACGGCGTCAAGATAGAGACGCACAACTTTTACGTCACTAAATACGTCACCCAAAATGTATCGCGGCCTCAGAGGCAGACAACCCCCAAAATCGAGATAAAGTCAAAACGATCGTCATCAGAGGTTGTTCTTGCATTTCCACTAGATGAAACTAAGATGAATCCAGCCACGAGCAGTCAACAAGTATTTGCATTCTCGGCGATAGGAAACATGGGATTCAAAGTAAGTTGTGAGACCAAATACGTCCCTAATAATTACCGTCGTTGACATTTCTCTCTAGTTCTTGATCCAGGCAGACTTTGAGAGAAATGGAAGCGGCCATGATATCGATAACAATTCAAGAAAAAATCGATATCTTCTTGGACCTATCACAACAGCGTTTGGAAAAACGATGCATAAGCTTGCCGAGGACGGCCATTTGCGCTACAAATGGATGAGGTATTTGCCTCAAAATTGCGATCAGCCTCGAATCCCTCCAGGATACTGGATGGATCTACATGACAGCATAAAGAACACAATGAAATTTAAAGAATTAATGCGCTGTTCAAACAGCTCACTTACTTTACAAATCTACCGCCTTAGAAGACTTCCGTCTGAAGCAATGGACAATGAGAAAACTCCGATCTTCGAATTCCCATTTACCATAGCTACATTACCGTCAAAAGCATACGATGAATCAGACCTTAATTTATTGACTGAGTACGGATTGAGATTTGCGGACACGGCGGATATTCTCCGAACTATCTCACAAGATCTCGGGAGACGGCGTCCACAAATGAAGTCTTCTGCAACAAGTGAACAATGGCACACAGCTGCGGCGAAACTTTTGATATTTCTACTGGACAAAGTAGGGAAATGCAATTTTGATGACGTCAGCATCTACAATATGGATTTGATTCCCTTGGTAGATGGCAGATGGGTGAGAGCATCTGCCAGAGAGAACCCATTGTCATTCTCCAGCGTCGATGGGCTCACCATACCAGAGGACTTGCCTTTAAATCTCATCAGCCCACTGGCAGCCCAAAACGAGGCGAGAGCGGCTCTTTTCAAACGCCTTGGAGCGAATGTCTCTTCCCTCTCAGATATACAAAAACTTATTTTTAACAAATACCCCAGCGACATGTACTTAGACAACTCCCTTGAAAAGGCTGGTCTATCACAGGAAATCTCAGTCAAGCACTTACAGTTTCTCTATCTCTCTCATAATAAGGCCCCTGCGGATGCCGCAGATCTAAGGAAAATCGCAGTCTTCACTGAGAATTCTGTGTTGATACGCCCAGCTTTGGAAGAAGTCTATCTTTTGAGCCACAATACTCAAACCGGCGCAGAGAAACTCCTAATGTCAGACGAGTCTCCAGATGGCTTTGGGCTTCATATCTTGTCGTCATGTTATTATCGTGCCAAATGGCAGCAGGAGGATGGGTGGATCAACTGGCTGCAAACTACTCTCGGTATCTGTTCACGTTTGAAGCTCATCGATGACAATGGGCCTACGTCGACATTTCGATCTATAATATCTCATCGGAAGAACAACCTTCTCGCTGTTCTCCAATGCTGCTGGCCTGATATTGATAAGACGATACGGCAATATCCAAGCCTTATAAATGAGATTTCCCACACACTCGTGCCATGCGGGGATAGATGCATCGAACTGTCAAGCACTCATCTCCCCCTTCCCGATCTCGTCGCAACTTGCTCCGTTTACCTAGAAAACGTGAATTCCTTCCCATTCCTGGATCTTTCAAATACGCTGGCGCCGAACGACCTGTCTGCTTGGACATTTCTATCCGATATTTTCATGTCGGCAGTTCGAAAAGTGAGACATTCTATTTGGATATACTTCAGATCGTGGCACAAGCTGATCACGAGGGTGAATACGGTGAAGCTGCCCCGGAACGAGCTTTTGACTTATACAGGTTATTATGCCACGCAATGGGTGACATGAAGATTGAACATGTTCGGTAAGTATAAATAAGCATTCAAGTACCGAAAAGACCTTAAAGCTGACTAACTCCTAAGGCATGTTTTTAAGAGCTCAAAACGCCCTTTACTCCTCCTCCCTATCTCGGGGGTCGCAGAGAAGCGGTGGAAGGCTGTCGATGATTGTTGTTGGGACTGCCTGTCAGGGAACATTATAGCACTAGGGTAGAAGTTACCCCAAAGGGTGGGGATAGCGTAGAAGTTAGCTATATAAAGGTATCCAGGCTTCCTTTTTATATTTAGGGAGCTAGGAATTAATAATATTGAGCCCTTACCTATACCTTTAACCTATTTACTTTTTACGTATTACCTATTAATAATTTAGCCTTACTTTAGGATAAACTTTTATAATAAATTAATTTTTCCTTTTATTTTTTAACTATTATTAGATTATTATAAATAGTTATATTAAAGTTAAATAATATAATGTTTTTTTATATCTTTAATAATTCCTTTAATAAAATTATAAATGTTAAATTAAATATTAATACCCTTTTAAATTAATAATTAAATATTAAAATTATAAAAATAAAAAAGAAATTAATTTTATAAAAAAAATAAAAATAGCTTTAAAATTTATAAAAGAAAGTTAATATTTTAATTATTATTTTTTTTAAAAAAAGTGTTAATAAATAAACTATAAAAAAACTATAAAGTAAAATCTTTATTAAAATTAATTTATTTATTTTTAAATATAAAGGAAAAATTAAAGTTAAACTTTTTTCCTTTTTTATTATATTATAATTTTATATTTATTTTATTAAAGTAAAGTTAAAAGATAAAATAGTTAAAGTACTTTATATAAATAGTAACTTTAAAAATTTAATTAAAAAGAAATAAATTAATTTCCTTTTTATATATTATAAAAGTAATTTTATTTAAATTTTTTAAAAAGTATTTTAATAATAGCTTTATATTAATATTTTAAATAATATTATTAATAATTTAATTATATTATTAATAATTTAATTATAATATTAATATTATAAGCCTTTATATAAAGGAATAATAAATCCTTTAATAATTTTTTAAAAAAATTTAAAAAGGTAAAAGTAGAAAACTTTAATAACCTATTAAATAAGGTATAAATAATATACCTTTTAATAAAGCTAAATAATAAATTATAAATAAAAATTATTAAAGAATTTATTTTTTAAACCTATAATAAATTAATTATTATAATAAAAAGGATTAAACTATTAATAAAGGTTATAAGGATTTATATTTTAATAATTTCCTTTTAATCCTTATTAAATAAAATTAATTAAAGCTATTTTATTATTAAAGTTAAGCTTAATTTAATTATTAAATAATAATTACTTTATAAAAATAAAGGATATAAAAAAAGTAATATTCCTTATATTAATATAAAAATAAAAAGTTAAAAACTTATTATTTATTATACCTATAAAAGAAAGGGCTATATTATAATTATATATTTATAAAAGCCTCTTTAAGGAATAGGGTTTTATTATATTTATAAAAAAATGGAATACTTTTTTAAAGGATGCTTAAATTATAGCTATATTATTAATATTATATTATTAAAGCTTTATTATAATATTATAAATATATTAATAATTTTATTAAACTTTAATTATTAAAAAAGTTTAACCCTTTATATTTATTTTAAAGCTTAAATAAAGTTAAAGATAAAAGGGAAATAAGTTATATTATATTATAGGTAGGTTAAATTTTAAAGGTTAAGTATAATATTATAAGTCTTTTTAATTTCCTAATAGGTATTTAATAAGATTAAAGTTTAAAAAAAGGAAGAATTTCCTTTAAAATATATATAAAATAGGTATATAATATATATAAAATATATATATTTTAAGGGCTTTAAAATATTATAATATAATAACTATTCCTTTTTCCTTAATTAAGCTATCCTGAACTTAATATATAATTAATCTATTAATTAAATATAAAATAAAAAGTTTAATTATATAAATATATAATATAAAATGTTATAATAAATATATTAATATAATTTATTTATATAAAATATTATTATAATAAAAGTATATAAGTATTAAGCTTATATTTATATTATAAATTATATATATTATATATTACTTTTATAATAAAATTTATATATATATTTTTATTAATTATTTATTAAATTTTTTTTTTTTTTTTTAATTATTATTAATTTTAAAAATTAGTTTTAGTTAAAAATTATTACATCGTTTCCATTTTTACCTTATTTCTCTTTTTTTTTTATTATATTTATATTATTATTATTATTATTTAAATTATACCTTTTAAAGGTAAAAAGAATAAGGGTAAAGCTTAAGCTTTAAAGAATAATTATATTACTTATAATAATAAAAGTAAAGCATTACTATTATTATTATTATTTAAATATAATAAAAATATAAATAAAAAGTATATTAATAATAAAGCACTTATATTATTATTATTATTATTATTAATATTATTAATTCTATTAATATTATTAATATATTATAAGTAGGTTAAATTTTAAAGGTTAAGTATAATGTTATAAATCTTTTCAGTTTTATAATAGATATTTAATAAGATTAAAGCTTAAAGAAGGAAAGAATTTCCTTTAAAATATATATAAAAAGAGTATATAATATATATAAAATATATATACTTTAAAGGCCTTAAAATATTATAATATAATAATTATTCCTCTTTTTTTAATTAAGTTATCCTTAACTTAATATATAATCAATCTATTAATTAAATATAAAATAAAAAGTTTAATTATATAAATATATAATATAAAATATTATAATAAATATATTAATATAATTTATTTATATAA